AGAGTTAATCTCAGAACCACTGGTAATAATTTTGAGAATTCCCTGGAGAACAGTAGAAGTTCCAGAAGACTGGAGGAAGGCAAATGTTCCCATCTTTAAACAGAGGTAAAAAGAGAGCCTAATTACTGCCCAGTCAGCCTGACATCAATACCAGGGAAGGTTCTAGGGCATATCTTTAAACGGAAAACTTCTAAGCTCTTAGTAAGGAATATCATGCTCACTAAAAGTTAACATGGATTTCTCAGAAGCAAGTCCAGACTGATCTTTTCCCCCTTTTAGTAAAGTTACGTGCTTAGTAGATAAAAGAATGGATGTAGCATATTTTGATTTCAGTATGGCCTTTGACAAATTCCCCCATAATATTCACATGAAGAAGCTAGTCAAATGTGGGGTAGATAATTCTAGTGTTAGGTGGCTTGGGGACTGGTTAATTGGCCAAATCCAAAGGGTGCTTACCTATGGCTTCTTGTCATCCTGGAGAGAAGTGCCACAGTGTTCAGTCCTGGGCCCAGTACTATCCAACATCCTTGTCAATGACTTGGATGATGGAATAGAGGGCATGCTTATCAAATTTGCAAATGACACCAAATTAGGAGGGATAGTTAATACCCCAGAAGACAGCATGAGATCTCAGCAGATTAGAGAGCTGGAGCAAGACTAACAAAATGAATTTAATCAGGGAGAACTGTAAGTTACTACTCTTAGGCAGAAAAAATGAAATGCACAGATGGTAACATCTGGTTTGACAACAGTACATGAGATAGGGATCTAGAAGTCTTTGTAGATTATAAAATGAACACGTGTGAACAAGGAAGTAATAAAACAACTTTATTCTACTTTGGTCAAACCTCACTTGAAATGCTGTCTTCATTTCTACTGCTCCGGAGACTAGGGATGCATCTATCATGGTTCAATGTTATGGAATCATGCGAGATGTAGTTTTATGATGTCTCTGGCTTTCTCTGCCAAATAGTTCTGGTGCTCACTGAATTACAACTCCCATGATTCCATCGGATTCACCCTCAAATACAGATCCAACGCTCGGCAGCCATGATACTAACAGGAGTGGAGCGCAGGGAGCATACAACTCCTTTGCTGCACCAGCTCCACTGGCTGCCGATTTGCTACCGGGCTCAGTTCAAAGTGCTGCCGTTGGCCTATAAAGCCCTAAACGGTTCTGGCCCAAGCTACCTATCCGAATGTATCTCTGCCTATGAACCCACCAGGGCTCTAAGATCTTCTGGGGAGGCCCTGCTCTCGATCCCGCCTGCATCACAAGCACGGCTGGCGGGGACGAGGGACAGGGCCTTCTCTGTGGTGGCCCCTCGGCTGTGGAACGCCCTTCCCATGGACATTAGATCAGTTCCTTCGCTAATGGTGTTTCGAAGGAAACTAAAAACCTGGCTGTTTGAACAGGCATTCGGATAAACAGCGCAATGAATACGATGAATATAGGAACGGAATTATGGCTGACGAATTGGATCACGACTCTAGTTATGAGACGCTAACGTGTTGTGTCATTACTTGTATACTATGTTGTCAATGGTTTTTAAATTGTATGTTGTTAGGATTGACTTTTGCTCTTGTTGTGAACCGCGTTGAGTCGCCTACGGGCTGAGAAACTGCGGTATACAAGTAAAGTAAAGTAAATAAATAAATAATAAATCAATAGATTCCATCTAGAGAAATAGAGATTCCACCTGAACATTGGGAATAACTTCCTGGTTGTAAAAGCTGTGCTCCAATGAAATATGCTGCCTCAGAGTGGGATGGAGTCCCCTTCTTGGAGGTTTTTAAATAGATGCTGGATGATCATTTGTGTTCCTGCATGACAAGGAGTTAAACTGGATGGGCCTTGGGATTCTTCAAACTCTGTGGTTCTATGTTCACCAGATTCCTGGTGACATTGTGGCTCACCCTTCAAAACACAGTTCTGTTTTTAAGGAATTTGTAGTGTGGGTGTTTTTAAATTTCTAAAGCTATGCTTCTGTTGCTTTCAAATAAAGTGCAAAACATACATTTCCAAGTTGAAGGGTGAACATGTGATTCCATTTCTATGTAATTAGAACAAAAAGAAAGATGTACACAGACAACAATTCTGCAAGGCTAAATGCGATAGCTACTGTTATGTTGACCCCTAGCTTAAAAGAAAAATGTCATTTTATATCAAGATTTTCCTTGCAGTTTGTACTGTGTACTCTTTGTCACCATTTGATTGCCAGTTTTGGCAACATGGCAAAAGTTGTAGGATATCTGGAATGATAGGAATTTTGCAGTCATAAACTGAATAAGATTGTTATGGTATGGTTGTTATGGCATGAAATGTAAAGCAAACATCATTTTTACATCAGCACTATTCCAGGCAATATTAAGCAAATGAAATAATATTCCTGAAATACATGAGGGCTTCCTGATACTGGGTTGCATAACCACTGCTGTGAGGACGTAACGATGACCATCTTGAGTGACCTGCAGATGGGTCCCACAACATCTACCCCCCCCCCCCAATGGGGTAGTCACCACAGGGATAGTTTGCAGTAGTCCCTTGGTCTTATCCCTCACTTTGCCAACTAGCTGGCATACTTCACAAGTTCTACAGTAAGCTCCTGATGTCTTTTCCCATGTTTGGCCAGTAAAACCTAGCTTGTATTCTGTCCCTGGTCTTATTAATGCCTAGGTGACCACTGAAGGGGACATTGTGAGCTAACTTCAAGATGTTGAGGCAATAGTGGGACAACTAGCTGTTTTCTCTCTTCCCACAAAATGGTATCTTTCTTCGTCCTGGCCTGTTTTGCCTGTTGAACTACCTTGACAGACTTAGGAGGGGCCGTAAAAGCTGTGCTTGGGCATACTGATTTTATATGACCATCTTGTTGGCAATTGAAACAGATTACACTTGTGGTGGTCTTAAAAGGAAGAGTGTCCCATCTCATAGGGTTAGTGTTCACACTTTCAGCCTTTCCTTTAGGATGCCATTATCTCAGCTTCTTGTAGGGAACTGAAAAATGTCCTCCTTCAAAATCTCCTTCAAATTCACCTAACAGGATGACAACTCCTACTATGGTTTTAATTATTTTATCTTTTATGTACCAGCTCATTTGGAGTGGTACCAATATGTAAAATTGTTCCAAACTAACAAGCTGCTTCAACTCCTCAAAAGTCTTCACTTTATTTCCTTCAATCCACCTGTCCAACGCTTTGTCTAACCTACAGCCCAGTTGTGAATGTGTTTCACCTGCCTTGCGTTTTATTTCTCTGAAGGCTTTTCGGCTTTATTCTGCAGTCATCCCAAACCTTAGTTTCACTCTTTCTTTAAACAAATTATAATCAGAGATCTCCTCATCCCTCAAGTCTGCATATGTTTCACTTAATTCACCACAGAGCAGTGGTCTCAAATGTGCCATCTTTTTTGCCTCAGACACTCCCAACTCCTGGCAAGTCCTTTCAAAACTGGCAAGAAAAACCTCCATATTATCTCGTTTTTGGTACTTTGGAAACCGTTTTAAGTCCTGTGTGGTAAATTCAGCAACATTTTTCCTCGTTCTTGGTAGGGGCTTGGACTGGATGGCCCACAAGATCTCTTACAACTCTATCATTCTATGAAAAGAAGACAATTCTCTGCTTTCCCTGATTTCATGTGATGAAGTCATGAGCCAGCAAGCAAAATGGATCATGATACTGAGAATGGAATGTTTGGCTTTTGACAGCCATATTCCTTTTTGCATGGTGCATACATTTTACGTATTTATTTACTGCTAGCCAATGAACAAAGGAAGGTTGTTTTTTCTAATATAAAGTTGGTATATCAGCCTGTGGAAAGCAAGGGGACACAGGAGAGGGCAGTATGGTTTGCAAAAGAAGACAGTGTGCCCATTTAAGTAACTTGTAGAGGGATGGGGCCTTCATTTGTAGTGCTGTGGAACCCACCCAAATGTTGGGAGGTGGGATCAGAAACGGTCAATATTGCCATTTAGATCGCACAATAGGATATTTGGAGCTATTTTCTGAGATGGACTGAAGTTAGACCTATGAAGGCCCTTTTTAAAAACTAGAAACCCGAATTGATGCAAAAACACTACATGGTCATTACATTATTTTAGACTTCAGCAGACTGTGTAATGCAATCTAAAAAATGCCTGTAGAGAGATTTTCTATCTCTGTTAATTCCTCCCATAATTTCCTGGTATAGTTCTTATTTAAAATCTTGCTGAATGCTTTAAATGATTTTTGTGTATTTTTTTCCTAAAGGGACTTACATCTTCCTATTTTCTAGATAATTTTAAATGAATTATTTTATCCTCCCGCCCTCCCCATTCACAATTATACACAGTGCTAGCTTAAATCGCAGCTGAGGGAGAAGCAATTTCTATAATACTTTATCAAATGTAATTGCATTGGGCTTAAATCACTGTGTAGGATTAAATGAAGTTTCCTCATCTGTTGGTAGTTTCAGCAGAAATTACTCCTCTAAGAGTTGGTAATTTACTTTGTAGAGAGGATGTTTCAGATTTTGAAATACTTAGACAGCTTTCACAATGGTATTACACTGGAATGGTGACACTTGGTTTACTCATACCTCTGGTCTAAGGCATCAACTCTATCACTTTTAACCCTTCCTTTTTGACTTGCCTTTACATGAACATTTTCTTCTAACTTGCAGACACAGAAACTTTCCAATTAGGACCAGAGTGAGAGGGGGATTGGATTCTGATTATCCATATTGGTGGTGGTGGGAAGGGGTCACTCTGCCAAGGGACTGGAAACAGCATTACTATTCTGCTCTGAGTTTGAAAATACTGTCTGTTTCAAAACTGTATCTTATAACCAGTAAAAATGTTGCCTTCCATCCAAAATGAATCCAGTGTTTTCAACAGAGGTTTGAAGATTTGTATTGTTTGTTGTCAAGCCTGTTGACTGAGGAGGATGGCCCTTCCTTTTGTTTTATAGGAGCTGAGCTATATTCGACCCTTGTTGCATTATTAATGGTATAATGTTGTTAGGTTGCAGATGGCTGACAGCTAGCACAAAACACTCAGGATCATGATGGCTCAGATTCTTACAGGCATAAATGGTAAGTAGCTTGCTTAGAATATGTTCCAAAGGTAAGGCACATGTTTTCTGTGGGTTTTCAACACAAACATCCACTGTAACATAATCTGCCTGTAGCAGCTGCTAATTCCCCTGTATTGAAAGATTATAACATACACTATAAACAATGTGACAGCCCTTTCAGTACTTCAGCTGTGAATGGCAATCTGTGCCCTTGTTAATCAGACCAGTTGAAATTTGGGGTATTTTGATACAGTGAATCTACTGTAGTCCTTGTTAATTCATATCACACTAAGAGAGGACAGCATGTGCAGGACAGCTGATGTAAATGCTTGCTGAGAAGTTACAAACAGGCATTTCCTAAATTACAAACATCTGATTTAGAAGTAACTCATAGTTAAGAATGGGACTGAGACAACAAGATGTAAGAGAAATATATCCCTAGGAAGGGAAATTTACTCTCAAAGAGTTATCATGGGGAAAAGATATCTTCACTAAAGCTTTATCACCAATCCTTGTTTCCACAACAAGCCCTTTTTTCAAAATCCAATGATCAAAGGGACAGAAAGCAAGGTGAAATCTTCTGAACAGGAGCACAGACAGGAAAACAAACTCCACAGGAATGTTAACCCTTTCCCATGCTATCCAAATCTTATATGGATGTGTGTGTACACACATACATATGGCTGAAGTTTAAAAAAGTGTACCTGTTCCAACTTACATACTAACCTTTCTTGTTTGTAACTTGGAGATTTCCTGTATTAAATCGCAGCCTGGAAGGCTCCTTAAAATTTTTACTGTCATAAGTTCTGTTTCTGTTTGGTTCACCAAGAAAATGCCTTTTACAGCACTCATTACAAGTCCATCTCATGGCTGCTATTTATCCAAATGCTAGTTTAGAACTTTATTACTTTGGAAATCAGTTTTGAAAATTTTCTACTATTTTATCATCTCACTGTTTTGTTATAAAAGGAAAGCTGGCTACTCACAAGGACAGTAGTCTTATATCCCTAGTATCTGCAGTGCGCTGCCAGGAATTTAAAATGCATATATATTCTCAAAACAAATAATTTTATTTCATTGCAGATGTTTAGTATTGAAATGAATAGGCATAGAGTTAGATTAAATATGAACATGTTTACCAGCTGATAGAAAATTTTGCTTTCCTGCACGTGAGCAAGGCAACATTAAATTATTGGACAAATGGCAAACTGCATGCTTGTGTTTCCTATGTGAGATAAGTAGAACACGTTTTTCCTTCAAGTAAGTCAAAAAGGTGAGGCACATTCTTTCCACATATCCCCCTCCCCCATCTTCAGTGCTATGTTGTATAGTACTGCTGCTTTATCACTTGTAAAACACACATAACTAGCTCTTTTTATTTGCTAATGAATTAAAATAACACTTAGTTTAGAAGGTTAAAATGCCACTTTGGTTTTCATTTACAAAATTAACTGTTAAGGCTGAATAATTATAGTCTACTCCACTGCTTCTTAAACTGTGGGTCCCAACAGCTCAAATTGGGGTCACAAAAAAATTGGCAACAATAAAAGATTTCTGAACACCACCCATTTGCACAAACCTGTTACCAGTGTTTACAGTGGACTCTGCAGAAAATGTTTCCGCTGTACTCCACCAAAAGGAAAATCAGCCTGTTTAGCAAGCCTTGCAAATGCTGATTTGTTATCAGTATATGTTTTATTTTTATACACCTACATTCCCGAGGGCACAAAAAAAAATTCTTGCGCTGAATGGGGTTGCAAATAGGAAAAAGTTTAGAAAGCCCTGGTGCTCAGTGGCATTTTCTTGCTGAGGCAACTGAACTACCAACAAAGCCTGTTCTCCCTCCCCTCCCCAGAGAAGGACACCCTGACTGCGAAATATTGGTCTGTCCTCTCCTTCCTGGCACCATTAATGTTAACGGTAACTTGACTGGGTGGCACAATCTGTTTCCTCCCCTTTTTCCTTTCAGTCCCGTTGCATTTCTCTGTGGCAACAGCAGGCAGGCAGAACATTCAGTGGATTTCTATATTTGATCAGAATCAATTTCCCTAATTTTAGAGTTGTATCAGATGCCTGTAGCAAGGTAGTGTGCTGCAAGGTTTCTTCTTGTGATTGTGGGACCTTTTCAGAAAAAAATAAATATTGGGTTTTGTTAGTAATCATAACATAACAGAGAATTTTCAACTTCAGAAGCACCACTTTTGTTTCTTCTCTAATTTGTTTTTAACTTGATTCCTGGAATTAAACCTTCAAAATGGGCATGTAGTCCAACAAAAATGTACACAGAAAAAAACCCAGAAATATTAAAAAAATTAGGCCAAATGTTATAACTATAAAGTCTGCATTTCTCAAGATAGAAACTCTGAGACTGAGTAGGCACAAATGGATTTCATCTTACAGTGTAAAGAAGCAGTGCCTGGTCCTCATTTCTGAAAGCATAAGATTGGCCGCAACTCCAGTCTGTCTCTTGCCTTGGCAAAACACACCGTCAGCATAGAACAAAAGGGAATGCGGTGCAGTCGCCCCCAGGAGTGCCAGTTCCACCGCAGGGATCTCTGCTGACTCTGTGGCTAGCATAGTTAGCAAATCTGAAGGTTTTTCTTTTTTTTTAATTAATTGTTATTGTGCTTTAATACAAAGTTATTGATACTGTATAATGGTATCTTTTAGGGAACTGTTTCCTAACATTTTCCTTCAACTGACCCTCCATGTGCCAACATTGTTTTTCAAGGTGTATTTCCTTTTGTCTTTCAGGAGGCCCAAACATGTGGGCGATCACTCCTGAAGAAAGAATGAAGTATGACAAGCAGTTTGACAGCCTTAAACCAATTGGGGGTTATGTTACAGGTTGGTATATGCTCCTGCAATCAATGGTCTTCCTTTTTAGAACAGTTTCACACATTTGGCTTTGGCTCAAATTTGCTATAACATACCACTAGAAATACAAATGGGAGGTGCTTCAGATTTGGCAGCACCCATCACTCTCCAGTTATTGCTCTTCTGCAAGTTCTACGTGCAACATTAACACTGGGGAATATGATACAATTCTGTGTGTTTTCATCATGCCAATTTTCATCTGTACTATTGAGCACAACATAGGGAAGTGATAGGGCAAGGGACTACTGACCTATGCATTCAAAATTCACCCTTAAAAATAACTTTGAGAGGTAAGCAACTCTCCAGGTCCTCATGACAGACCAGGGTTAAAAAGTTACTTTCAAAGTTATTTCATTATTGAAAAAAATCTTGTTGCCCCTTGTTATGGTTAGAAAGAGAAACATTTCTGTTATTCTTCATTTTTAATTCCTATGTGGTGGTGTTATTATTGTTCTTATTATGATTATTATTGGAAAATAGCATATAAAACAGCTCCTCTTCCCTCCACTCTCTAAGGCAGGCATGGGCAAACTGTTTGGCCAGGCAGGGCAGGCCGGGAGAGAGGGGAGGAGGCCAATGTTTGGAGCGGGAGGGGGAGGCAGAAGGACAGGAGGACAGTTGGCGCAGGGAAAGGTTGGCATGGGGAAGGGGAGGCCAAGGGGATGATTGGCACAGGCGTGGGACTTCTTGACCCACAGCTGTGCAAGGCTCCTGAGAGAGCTTATCTGTAAGAAAAAAATAAAAGGTCAATTCTAGCTTTTAAACAACTCATTGAGATAGTAATGTTTGATCCCCATAAACCTCATTGACCTTGTTCTCTACTTACTGAATGAGGCCAAAAGTCAAAGCCAGGAGTTGTAACAATGCAGTCACTGCTGCTACCACCACTCACTAGCACATCAATCCTTCTGTAGAAGCCCACTGGCTCAGTGCAACTTTATTTTCATGTCAGGACGACTTGAGAAACTGCAAGTTACTTCTGGTGTGGGAGAATTGGCCATCTACGTTGTCCAGGGGATGCCCAGATGCTTGATGTTTTGCGTCCTTGTGGGAGGCTTCTCTCATGTCCCCACATGGGGAGTTGACAGAGGGAGCTCAACCCGCTCTCCCCAGACTCAAACCGCTGACCTATTGGTCAGCAGTCCTGCCAGCAAAAGGGTTTAACTCATTGCACCACCGCGGCTCCTCAGTTCAGCTGATCAGAGACAAAACTGTCGGAATTAAAAAAAAGTCTTATCCAGGACCAAAGAAATCCACAGTGAGATAGTTAAGACTGATCCTCCTAGAACAAAATCACAAAATCACAAGTTGAACACTTCCCAAGCGTCTAGGACTGTGTGATGTATTTTCGAATGATGCATGCAGATCCAAGTAAGGTGGCCTTTTGCAGTTGACAGAGCTCAGGTGAGAGCACCCAACAAATAAGGAATCTTTTGTCTATATATTCTCCAACATCATGGAAGAGGATTGTTCTTGTTTTTATGTCATTTTAAAGGAACATAAGAATTGTAATGTGTTTCCCCTGGTTAATGCCAAGATGGGTTTTAAGAGAGGGGATGTATTCCCTTGCATATATAACCGCTGATATTTATCAACCTGTCACAGTTTTCCTGTTGTGTAACCCCATCATATAATCTTGCTAGAAAGGCCCTGCTAGAAAAGCCTCTCTGGAGAGCCCCGCACAGATGCATATAACTGCAGGGCCCTCCTCTTGGCAGGAAAGAGCAGTGACCCGCCGAACCCTCCTACTGAGAAGAGGATTTCACATACAGCTGCCCAGGGCCTGTCACCTCCTACGAGAGGAGAGTTTGACACACAACATCTTAGGGCTCTCACAAAAGAGCCCTCCGCACATGTGTATGGCTGCAGTGCCCTCCTCTCTGCAGGAGGGTGTGTTCACCCACCATGCCCTACTGCTGAAAGGAGGAATTCATACATAGCTGCCCAGGGCTCTTGTGAAAGCCTTGGGCAGCTGCGTGTGACTGCCCAGACTGTCTTTTTCACAGGAGGACTCAGCTGCAAGCTGTGTCATCCTACTGAGAGAAGGGTTTCACAAGTGGCTGCCCCAGCCCTACTCTCAGTTGCGTATTTCGGCTTTTACCTCTACCCCCACCCAGTAGCCTACAGGAATTTTCCATCAATCAAACAGAATTTCTTCTCAGATCCACCTTTTCATACTTAAAGCCTCCTGGATAATTAATAGATGCAGAGCCAGACCTCAGCACTGTGAAAATAAAAAGGTCCTACACTGCAGCGGATAATTTTTTAGAAAATGTTTGGAGAGAAATTGTTAAACACATGTTGTTTGTATATATTGGATCGTTATCTTCTTCATCTACACAACTAAGTCTTGTCCACTAGTATAATTTGAACAGTAGAATAGACATAAAGCATGTTACCTGTATTTTGCAATTCCTGGTGTCAGAGCTCTTTCAATTTAAAAAATCAGTTTATTGCAGAGCAGCTGTACTGCTTTTAGCTGACTTATTTTTCATTATGTTTACATTTGTCTTCCTCTTGTTATAAACTCCTGAACTATTCAGGAAGAACATGATGCAAATTATACCTTTGCATAATAGTTCTACAAACAGTTTCATGTGCTGTTAACTAAATGGCAGGCTTGTTGTAAAACTGCTGCATCTCCCCCATGACTCTTCCTTATTCAGTGGAAAGTGAGTCTGCCAAGGCCCTCTGGGATGGAGGATCTTATAATATAGCTACTTTGGATCTGATGACAGAAATGTAGCCAGCTGTTCTTCCGGTCCTGCCCCCTCCTCACCAGGCACAGAGTGATCGGGGAGGGGGGTGTGGACTGCAGTTTTACAGTTAGTCCAACAGAGTGACTTCGGTTATTGTGGAGGGAGGAAGAGTTGACTTATACCTGTATTCTGCTAACAGGATGCCAGCCACTCTCTGGAAATACCCATGCAGGTGCCTAACTGCATACACCATAGAAAAGAAAGAAAGGACACAAAAAAGTGATTTTTTTTTAATGGTGTGCTTTGGGGAAGGGGGAAAATCACCAGGCTTTTAGATTCTGTCAGAGGCTGCTGTGATTTTTAGTTGTGAATTCTTAGTTTTGATTTTTAGTTCAGTTTTGGTTTGTAATTGATTTTTTTAAATACCAACATCATTTAATTGTGTTCTATTACTTATATATTTGTAGATTTTAGCGCCCACCCTGTCCATCCTCTGTAAAGACTTGAAAACTTGGATGTTCCAATGTTCTTTTGATTAATCGGTTCATCAATTGACATGGCCCTTCTAGCCCTAATTTAATTATCTGGCTTTTGCACTTTACTGCCAGCCTTGCTCTGCAGTTGTATTGCACAAGCCCTTGCCCCACCCTCTCAACACACCCATTGTGGTCGGCTACTGGTTGTTGGTCATTGATGCTTAATGTTTCTAGGATTTTTGTATGGTTTTTGTTTTAATTTATTTTACTGTGCTATATTTTAGTTCTGTTGAATAGGCCTGATCCCCATGTAAGCTTCCCCGAATCCCTTCGGGAAGATGGTGACGGGATATAAGAATAAAGTTGTTGTTGTTGTTTTAAACTGTACTGAAGAGTGGGTTGTTGTAGGTTTTTTCGGACTATATGGCCATGTTCTAGAGGCATTCTCTCCTGACGTTTTGCCTGCATCTACCTCAGAGGTAGTGAGGATGCTTGCCATAGATGCAGGTGAAATGTCAGGAGAGAATGCCTCTAGAACATGGCCATATAGCCAGAAAAAAACCTACAACAACCCAGTGATTCCGGCCATGAAAGCCTTGACAATACATTGTACTGAAAAGCTTTAATGTAAGCCACTTCCTTGTTGGAGAGAAAAGTGGAGTATAAATAAACATTATTATTATTATTATTATTATTATTATTATTATTATTATTATTACAGAATTGTATTGTGATGCCTCTCCCTGTCTTTTCCTCTTTTGTTTTCATATAGGTGATCAAGCTCGTACGTTTTTCCTGCAGTCAGGTTTACCATCTACAGTCTTGGCTGAAATATGGTAAATATATATAGATTTAAGTATGTAGATAATTGATATTGTGAGATTGATGATGTAGTTCTTAAAAATACTGTTGTTCTTACAGTAAGGCCCACTGTGCTCAGTAGTGCTTACTGTCAGCTAAATCTATCAAAATCTGTAAAAGGAATACACTTGCATTAAAAGTAGCTGAAATACTAGCTTTGCTTGAGTTATAAACCCTTTAACCCTCCCTGCAAGTTTGCTAGCATTCTCTCACACACTTTTCTACTATGTCCCATCCGGAGGTCTTTTTCAGATTTCCCAGGCTTGCCTGTGTTCTTGACCATAAAATAGATTAGTGGATAAAGACAGTACTGCAAGCTATTAAAATTTAATTAACGAATTGTTATTCTTTTAAAAAAGCAAAACAGCCTGCATTTCCAGAAGTCCCTTTACTGTCCATGCCAAGTTTCAGGTGATCTTGGAGCCAGTTGCATATGCAAGCATCCATGCATGCACACCTGCACCTGTTCTCTTTTATGAATACAGATTTCAACCAACACAAAATATATTGAATGCCAAATATGGTTAGATAGTCCTAGCTGGGTGCTATTTTTAAAATATAGGAGCCCCCAGTAGTGCTGTGGGTTAAACCCTTGTACCAGCAGGACTGCTGACCAACAGGTCAGCGGTTCAAATCTGAAGAGAGCAGGTTGAGCTCCCTGTGTCAGCTCCAGCTCCACATGTAGGGACATGAGAGAAGCCTCCCACAAGGATAGTAAAATATCAAAACATCTGGGCATCCCCTGGGCAACGTCCTTGCAGACAACCAATTCTCTCAATCCAGAAGTGACTTGCAGATTGCTTCTGACACACACAAAAAAAATCTAAAAATGAGCTAAATTGTTTCAGCTGAAGAACTTACCCTTCAATTAAATTTATAAAAATGTTCTTAAAATCAGAATTGGAAAAAAAGCAAAAAATAAAAATAAAAGTAGGACATTGTTTTGTAGAGTTACTTCTTGTCCTTAAGCAGTGGGTCACAATGAAGTACAGGCAATCCCCAAGTTACGAACAAAATAGATTATGTAGGTTTGTTCCCAAGTTGAATTTGTATATAAGTTGGAACAGGCACATTTTTAAGTGTAACTCCAGCCAAAAATTATTTTCTTTTAACTTCGATGTTTGTTTTGCTTTCTGTGCCCCTGTTCAGAGGATTTCACCTTACTTTATGTGCTTGTGATAATTGGATTTTGAAAATTTTGGCTTGTTATGAAAAAAAGGATTGGTGATAAAGCTTAAGTGGGGATACCTTTTCCCCATGGTAACACTTTCAGGAATTAATTTCCCTTCCAAGGGGTAGATTCCTCTAACTCCCCATGTTAATTATGAGTTGTTTGTAATTTGAATGTTTGTAACTCAGGGAATGAGCGAACTTTACATCACAAGATTCATGGTTTCTGCTGATTATATTGCAGGACCTAAATTATAATCCTTTTTCAAAATATTTAAGCAAGCCATGGTGTACATCATGCCTTTTCTCACTCACTTGCCCAGAGAAAATCTTAAATACAGGGTGGGCCAATAGTCACATAAGGGTTTAGTAACCTTTATTTTTTGTTTTAATTTACAATAGCATAGTGTTATATATAGTGGGGGATTACATTGCATGACATATAAAATCTTTAAAGAAATAATTTTCAAAAAGTTATTATGGCATCAGAGCTCTTTGTGACTTTTTGGCCCACTCTGTAGCCTTTTTGTCCCATATTATCAGGGAGAATCACATGCCTACTTTAAAATCTTCAAGCTGCTATTGGCTCTCTTGGAAGCATGTTTCCCTCTTCCGAGTTTCCCTTATGACTTTGTATTTTTACTCAGTCATAAATAGAAAACACTATTTTCTTCCCTGCAGCTTCTCCCCTGACTTCCCCATTTTGTCTTCCTGGATGGGTGTGCTTCTGTAACAGTTGTGGTTGATATTCATTAGTTCCCAAACATTTGTGTAACAAAATATTGTACATTGCCTTTCTAAGCACACATTATATGCAGTCAATAACATGATAATTCATTGCCCTCTCTAAAAAATTATGTATACCACCTGTCTTTGGTGCAGCACACTTCAGATTACCTCTTCTGAAGTATTTTGTCCCTTCCATTAATGTTGTTTTTTTCAAATCTGCTAATGTCATTGTGATAGATAGTAATCCACTCAATAATATTAAATTTTTAAAATACGCTCTCTGCCCATCCTTTTTATTAATTTGAAGAACAGTTAACCAAGCAAAAGTTCTGAGGAGACTAGAGGCTTTATTTACGAGGGGTATTTTTTAAGTAAGGTCCGTTTGAACATAAGTACACAACGAAAGTTTATTTCAAGAAAGTAAATTTATTTTCAGAAAGTACATACTTCACTCTATTTTTCAACATAGTTGCCAAGTTTGTTCAAACACTTATCATACCTCTGAACCAATTTTAAAATACCCTCTTCATAAAAACTTGCCACCACCAAAAGCCACCAAATCGTCTGTAATCAAAGAAGGGCGACCGGAGCGGTCCTCATCATGGACGTTGTCACGGCCATCTTTGAATTGTCGTACCCACTTACGCACTTTGCTTTCACTCATAACAGTATCACCGTTCACTTCACAAATCTGTCGATGAATTTCTGCAGCAGGCAGGTTCCTTGCTGACAAAAACCGTACCACTGAGCGAACCTCACATGCGGAGGGTGAGTTGATAGTCTTAAACATTTTTAAAGCACAGAACAGAACCGTACAGGTTAGCTACAGAGCGGAAACTGAGCACAGTTGTTCCCAAGGGACATGCCGGTACACGACGCACGCGCTCGTTGCGGTATGCGTGCGAACTACTACTATCTACAACAAAACGGACCTTAAAAAATACCCCTCGTATATATGCTACCATCCTCTCCTCTTTCAGATTCTTTGATGGTTCGTTGCCCACAGTTGAGTGTTTTCCATCATCTTGAGCATACCCTTTTTTCCTAATAGGCCTCTTATCTGGAGCAGATCCCTGATAATAGATCCTTCTAGCAACTGAACTGGCACCTCACTAGTTCTGGAATTCCCACCAAGCCCTTTGGAGACAGGGAGAAAAGGTGGAAATTGAGATGGGGGTGGGAATAGGATTGATTGCTTGGGATCACTCCTGATTCATTTGTGTCATTTATGGAACTTGGATATTCCATAGAAAGCCAGTGCCCATCCTCCGAAGAGTAATTTTAGTAATTTTACAAGGAATTCTGAGGTCAAAAATGTTATTTTGGGAACTAAAACCATCACCAGAGGATTAACTCCCACCTTGTGATTTCACCTCATACCTCTTAAAATCAGTTCTATGCAATGGAAAAAGGCTACTGGGACCTCTGCTACCAAATGTATTTATTTCACTTTCAGCCTTTCTGTGTGAATTCTAGACCAAACCTCTCCTAGTGTGGTGTACATCAATAATAAAAAAATAAAAAACAGGAAAAATAAATACATTGAGATCATACAACTAAAACAATCCTCCAAAACACTCTTTATTCGCCAGCTCTGGAAATGCAGTAAGATTTAGACTCACTTGGTGTGCATATATATATTTTTGTTTCTAAAGGGCTCTCTCCGATCTGAACAAAGATGGGAAAATGGACAAACAGGAATTTTCCATAGCTATGAAACTCATCAAGTTAAAACTACAAGGCCAGCCTCTTCCTGTGGTTCTCCCTCCAGTCATGAAGCAGGCACCAGTATTCTCTCCCTTGATTTCTGCTCGTTTTGGTAATGACGAAATCCAGTAAATATTTGGTGAAAGTAAATTGTTATACTTGTGAAAAATATATGTTTGAAGTAGAGTCATTCCTCTGCATTTGTGAGTTTGACTTTTGTGGATGTTATTAGTCATGGATTTGAAATGTTCACTTTAGGAATCTCTAGGTCCTCCAGTGCAACTCTGTGGTCAGCTTTAGCCAGATGTTTGACTGTAGAGGACTAAAGATTCCTAAAGAGAACATTTCTGTAGGAATGTCTAGATCTTCCAGTTCAATTCTGGTGGAAGTTGAATTGGACTGCAAGATCTGGAGACTCCTAGATAAGTGTTCTCTCAGATAAAAAAAGTTTTTTAAATGCATGGTTTTTACTTTCACAAGGATCCTGTGCCTCAAACCTCAGTGAATGTGACTATGGCTAAATATCAAATTTAATTTCCCCGCGGTCTTTCAGCAGAGGTACATGGTCAAATATTGGTTTTCCTTTTTTTAACCAGAGGCCATCCATTGTAAAAAAGAGTATCTTGATTATATTAATTTCGTTTCTGTTCTTATCTCTCCTGTTACTCTACAATGTCTGGGATGTATTGTATGGTTTTGTGTAGTGGAGGCAGGGGAACCCTGTGGTCATGTAGCGGCATGAATAAAACACAAAGGCTTGTTATTGAAAATTAGTTTGTTAGAACGTCAGCATCTTAACAGCTATGTTGTGAACATAGTTTGTTTAGTTAATGTTTCATCATATAGTATTATCATAAAAATAATACAATTTAATTTAGAATGCATACTCGTAAGGACAGATCAGACATAAAAACCATTTAAAATATTTCATAAAATGTCATTGTAAATGCCTCTCAGTTGCAAATACTATGACTTAAAGGCAATCCTGGGGAAGTGTTCGCAGTGCTCTTATGTGTGGCTCCTAGGTGAGCTCAGCTGTGTATCCCCTAGGAGAGAGTCCCATATGGTAGGGGCCACCCATAAGGAAGCTGACGATTCAATTCTTCTTTCAGGGATGGGAAGCATGCCGAACCTGTCTGTTCCAGCATCTGTTCCAACAATCGCACCATTAGCTCCCATGTCATCTTTTGCTTCTGTAACTTCCATCCCACCCTTGGTCATTTCTGCTCCCCTGCTGCCTTCTGTCAGCACAACGTCATTGCCAAATGGGACAGCCAGCCTCCTTCAGCCATTACCCATGTCCTACTCTTCAAGTAAGTATAGTCACTCTGTATTTGTTTACCTTTATCTGTGTGTATCTGTGTTTCATTGTTTAGAGGCATTGAATGTTTGCCTTGTGTCTGCATATGCTGGAATCCGCCCTGAGTCCTCACGGGAAGATAAGACAGAATACAAATAAAGTGTTATCATTATTATTGATTCAATGGGTTGTATCAATGGGACTTAAACAACTGTCATTTCCCCTGCTAAAACCAAGTCTTTAGGATTTGTTAAAATCAAGACCAGTCTCGGAGAGTAAAACAAAAAGGCTTTAAGAATACTGCTGCGAGGTGATTAACTGTTTTCCTGATTCTGTTTTTCCATTCAGACAAATATGGGAATTGCTTTTCCCCAAATGAGTAGGAAAAGTTACGGGAATCCTTGTCTTTAGATGGGATAGATAAGAAATTGGAAAAGTGCTAAAAAGTAACTGTTAATTAGAAAATGAATTTGCTAATGTTAAATAGTCATTTTTTCATTAAATAAAACAAAGCAAACTGTGGTAGGAGTGTTATATGAGTTAATGTAGTGGTGATGATGCCCACACTCCCTCCTCACAGTAAAGAAGGCAAAGAGGAAAGCAAATGGGGAGATCACTGTCGAAGGCTTTCACGGCCGGAATTACTGGAGTTTTGTGTGGCTGTCTGGCCATGTTCTAGCAGCATTTTCTCCTGACATTTTGCCTGCATTTGTGGCTGGCATCTCCAGAGGATCTGAGGGATCTTCAGAGGACCACACAACACTCCGGAGAGTGGACCACCCTACCAAAGGATGGTTTTACAGTGGGGAATGGGGTAGTCACTGCTGTGTTCCCAGTAGGCACATCCTCCCCACTGGTGGTGAGGATAGGGGTGGGTGGCATGGGCCTGTCAGGGCAGAATGAGTGTAAAATTTGTAATTGTCCTCCTCTGACTTAAAGTTATTACCTCACTGGGATTAACAAGAGCCCTCTTTTGAGGGGGCTGGACAGGAGTTTTGGGGGGGGGGGTTGTTTTGTTTTTTTGTTGTGTCAGGAGCGACTTGTGAAACTGCAAGTCGCTTCTGGTGTGAGAGAATTGGCCATCTGCAAGGACATTGCCCAAGGGACGCCTGGATGATTTTTGATGTTTTTATCATCCTTGTGGGAGGCTTCTCTCATGTCCCCGCATGAGGAGCTGGAGCTGATAGAGGGAGCTCATCCACCTCTCCCCGGATTCGAATATGCAACCTGTTGGTCTTCAGTCCTGCCGGCACAGGGGTTTAATCCACTGCGCCACCGGGGGCTCCTAGGAGTTGTGGTGGAAGTGGAGAAGTGTATAGAATAAATGGGAAAGTGCAGTTGGCTCCATACAATAGATCATTAGCACACCACACTGAGAATTCTTTCAAAACTGCCCCAATTCTATTTGGCATGGAATCAAATGTATGCCATGGTGTAGTATATGCAGAGGCGGCCCTAGGTAATTTTCAATGGTAAGCAAACAGTATTTCGGCACCCCCCCCCCCACAACCAATCACTGATATATATTTTCTGTTCGTCGTGGGAGTTCTGTGTGCCATATTTGGTTCAATTCCATCATTGGTGGAGTTCAGAATGCTCTTTGATTGTAAGTGAACTATACATCCCAGTAACTACAACTCGCATATGTCACGGTCTATTTTCCCCCAAGAGCACCTCAAGAGCGCCCCTGGGCAAAATCAACTATACTGCAAATGCTTACTTTGTGTAATGGGTTGAGCCGCCCCTGAGTATATGAAGTTAACTTGCTATTAATTTGTATCAATTTCCTCTTATTTTAGCTTTGCCTCATTCCAGTTCATATAGTCCCATGATGGGAGGATTTGGTGGTGCCAATATTCAGAAGACACAGTCCTTGATCGATTTAGGATCCAGTAGGTATGGATATTCAGGCACAAGATATTGCTTAGTTATAGACTTATATTTTTTCAATAGAATCACCATTCTGTTAATCTTTGCAATCTAAGTAGTTTCACTGAAAAGAGTATGCTTGGAAATGCAGAAGCTATTATATATATGTATTGAACATGTTAATGTGCAAAATAATCATGTCCAATTTGTTGCCTTTTTGCATATTGCAGTTCAAATTCTTCTTCAACTACCTCACTAACTGGGAATTCACCGAAGACTGGATCTTCAGATTGGGCAGTTCCTCAGGCTTCCAGGCTAAAATACAGGCAAAAATTTAATAGCCTTGATAAAGGAATGAGTGGATATTTGTCAGGTAAGTATTCACATACACATTCATTGTCATGCCGACTAGTAAGGCAAATTAGTATTTGTGGAATGCATGAATTGCTTATGTCTACATTTCTGATTGCATGAGGTAGGATACGACTGCAAGACACTATTTGTCTGTTCAGGCTTATTCACTGTCACCAAAAGAAATTATCAAGTCTAGAGTCTTCTTGTGGTAAGATTATAATTTCCCTCTTGTTGAGATAGAGAAGTTTATGTTCTAGAGCAGTGGTTCTCAACCTGTGGGTCCCCAGATGTTTTGGCCTTCAACTCCCAGAAATCCTAACAGATGGTAAACTTGCTGGGATTTCTGGGACTTGTAGGCCAAAACACCTGGAGATCCACAGGTTGAGAACCACTCATCTAGATTATCAAATATCATAATCCAGATTAAGTGCTTTGAACTAGATTATATGAGTCTACACTGCCATATAATCCAGTTCAAAGGAGATAATCTGGATTTTATATGGCAATGTAGAAGGGGTCTGAGAACAATATAAAAATTAGAGATGGTGGGCTACTTGCAATATAAAATTAAATGTACAGTTAACTAATAAAATCCTTAAAAACTGAAACATAAATCCCAATAATTGATTACCAGGTAACTTGAAGGCACCACTCTTGACTCTTTTTGAGCTGTTTCATAAAACATTTCCATGCTTTCCTAATAACAAGAAACTCTAAGGCCTTTTCTACCCAGCTGAATAAAATCCCACATTATCTGCTTTGAACTGGCAGAAAATCCCACAATATATGCTTTGAACTGGGAGCCTTTCCAGACAGGTCTTATATCCCAGGATGTGATCCAATGTTTTCTGTTTATCCCAGATTATCTGGCAGTGCGCACTCATATAATTCAGTTTAAAGCAGAAAATCTGGGATCAAATCCTTGGATATAGGACCTGTCTGGAAGCCCCCCCCCCATTCAAAGTATATATTGTGGGATTTTCCACCTTGATATTCTGAGTTATGTGGTCATATGGAAGGGCCCTAAGAGGGTCATAATTTTAAAGAAAAGAAATTGCTTATAGAATCCCTTTGTTATATGTTGTGTAATTTTCTCAAATGAACTTTTAATTCGTCAACCTAAAATAAGGAAGTGAAATTCCATTTTAGATATACGATTGAAATTATGTTTATGTCTGTGGGTGTTCATTACAGTAAATTGGGCTGCTATCCTCTACTCATTTATTTGGGAATGTGTCCTACTGATTGAAGTGGAACTTGAATTCAGAGAATAGGATTGTATCTGATCTATACAGAATTGTGCAGGAAATATATCCTGGAGGGCTTGTTTTTGAGATTTGAACGAATGAGTTTCTTGCTTTATTTTCTATAGTTCGCATCACTTCTAATATGAAATAGATTTTCATGTTAACATACTTAAGACAATTTAATATTTGATTTTCTAAGGATTCCAGGCAAAAAGTGCCCTACTGCAATCAAACCTATCCCAGACCCAGTTAGCTACTATTTGGTAAGTTGACATGTGTATTGATACGACCCTTATACTTTTGTAGTATTTGTAATAGAATTAAAATCTTACCAAACATAGGGTAGGTTCTAAAGAGATATAAATAAAATACTGTAAGTATCCACATTATCATTTTTGGCAAGAGCTGAAAAACTATGTGCGTAGAAGTCAGCAATCCTCTTTTGCTTGGCTGTTGGAAGAGATGTTGGGAGAGTGTTAGCCTCCACGTCTCGCATGCGTTTCTTTCGCCCCATGTTCAACTAGCAAAGGAGCTCTTATCAGCAACTTGAAAGTTTCCTACACTCTTAATATCTATAATGGGACAGTTGAGAAAATACTTTCATGGAATACGTTAAATGTCTATTAAAAGTATTATCTGTTAGCAAGCAACATATGGAGCTCCTCCCAACGTGTGTTTTAAGCAATTTTTTACTGTTGTAAATTTTACCTATTTGTGTGTTTAATCAACTGGATGTTGTTAATCCCAGTAAACTGCATACCTTGTATACCTACGGTGCAATAAGGCTCTTTGGACCTTAATAAAATGTTGTTGTTGTTGTACTGCAAATAAAGATATCCATATTGTGTAATCAGTAATGTAGTATTTGTGGCAAAAGGATATTATATTTATTTCATTTCTTTTCAAATTTTTGCTGTTTCAGTTATTTCAAATACTTTTACTCTGTCCTTCTCAACCCCCCCCCCCCCCCAGGGGGACGACCCAGAGCAGCTTCCAATTGGCAACAATTCGGTGCCACATAATAAAAATACAAATCTCCAATAATTATAAAAATAATTAATTTTTAGAATAAAGAATATCTGATATAGTAAATAGTTGAAAGATTTCCTATTCTCAAGGGAAACCCTAAGAACATTTTGCCATTCAAGAAGCATGGGTTTAATTCTCCAGTTAAAATGAGCAAAATGTAAGAGGACATAGCATGGTTAATGTTCTCACTTCCTCCAAGTATCACATACAAGGTTTAAACCAGTGGTTTCTATCCTGTGGTCCATGGACCACCATGGTCCGCAAGAACGAAAATATGGTCTGCGGCCTCACCCTTACTACACCATTACTTCGAAACCACGTAGCAACAAGAGCAACTGGTCTCGCGAAACCCTCTTATAGTGCTGAGGCAGCAGGGATTTCGGGAGGGGAGAAGCTGACTACTCACAAAAGATGACTAGAAATGGCACTAGCCTCAGCCCGGCCTTTTTAAATTGCCTTGAAATGCAGGATTATTTTAAATATATATGTGCTGTTGTGATTTTTTATGCTTATATTGCTTTGTTAATTTTATGTTTATGTTGATTACTCTGTATGTATTGATGATGTTATTTGGAAACTGCTCTGAGTCCCCTCCGGGAGATAGAGCGGTATATAAATAAAGTTCTGTTGTTGTTGTTGTACTATTACCATATAAGCTCTAGATTTTTAAATATGGTTTTCTTTGGGCGAGCAGATGGTGACTACTGGATGGCATATGTTATGTATTAGAAACTAGAGTTGATGGGGTCTGTCCAATGCTATTGCTCCCTCAACGTTCTTGTCCCAGGAGGTTTGTTTATCTTCCTGTCTCTATATGAGTTATCCCTTAGATTAGTTCTGCCCCCTTATCTCACCCGGAGTTTTTAAAATCATTTTATGTACATGCAGCCCGCTCTCTGTCATTATGTTTGGTTCTTATATTCTGTGTATATTGTTTTTTATGTTTTGATGTTTTATACCTTCTGTTATGTTGTTTATTATACTGCCATTTGTATTTTTATATTGTGGCTTGTTGTTTGGGCTTGGCCCCATGTAAGCCGCTCCGAGTCCCCGTCGGGGAGATGGTGGCAGGGTATAAATAAATAATAATAATAATAATTATTATTATTATTATTAATGCAACTTTCTGAATCAACACCCCAAATAAGCAAACTGAATCTAAAGTTGACAAAAAACTGATTCATAACCCTTTTGATATTAATGTTGGAGGGTGGTCCCTAGTCAAAAAAAGGTTGGGAACCACTGGTTTAAAACCTTCCTATATTGATTTGCAAAATTGACTTTTTCAAAATTGGTCCATTTGATTGTGTCTCTTGGATGATATTGTACCAAGCAGGTATTGCTGCCTCTTGATCTCTTAGCTTTATTAATGCAGCACATTGTTCTATCTTTCCTAGGTCACTTGCTGACATTGATGGTAATGGACAGCTGAAAGCAGAAGAGTTCATATTAGCCATGCACCTAACTGATGTGGCCAAAGCTGGGCAGCCTCTCCCATTAACTCTCCCTCCCGAATTAGTGCCACCTTCTTTGAGGTGCATAACACAAGGTGACATGTTATTAAAATTCTATTATGAATGCTAAATGATCTAAAATGTAAAAAACAAATACACTGTTTCTTCCCTCCAGAAGTGAAAAAAGTGTTGAAAAAATTAATTGTGTTCTGCCAACATACCAGAAAATGCAAGAAGAAGAACCTCCCCAAAAAGCTCCAGGTAACTGTGGGGTTATATGTTAAGAGTAAAAAGTAACGTTCACTTTTAAATGTGGCTAAGGGTGCAGGTATCACTGTCTTCCTTCTCTATATTGCCCCTCTGCCTTAACTCACTTCTCTGTCTTGCTTGGTCTGGCTCCACCCCAATGGAGATCGTCTCACTTTGCATATGCCATTTTTCTCATGTAAATTTGCAGTTTGCTGAAAAAACAGAGTCCCAAACTTGAAGCCATGATTGATAACTGCTGTTCAGTGCTTTACAAACGAGTTTTCTTTAGAGAAAAATGTTTAAATGATGCCCATATTTATTTGTGTGAATGTAGTATATATTCAGTTGACGTATCTCTGACTGAGCTTTGTTTTAATGATTATTTCTAGAAGAGAGTCAAGAGAGAAATATAGTTGATCACATTCCCATATCATATGATTAAATGCCCCTCTTTGTTCACAGCCATGACAACACCTATCCTTTATCCCTGGTACAAAGAGTGAAAGTTGTGCAGGAGTTCAGTACCATTTCTGTAACATTTTCCTTCTTGCTTCCCTTAATACCTTAAACTTTTCTTCTGCTATATTATTTATTTCCCTTTGGATGTCTTCCCTCTCAATTTCCATGTCCATTCTCCATGTTTGGGAAATTTCCTCTATTGTCTCTTCTTTTACTGTTATGATTTGGTCGTACAGATCTCCTGCCACATTCTTCTCCCCTCTCAAACATTTCCTAATCACCTTCTCAAATGGACTGTCCTGTTCTCTAATGTGATCAAGTGCAAGAATACTGGAAAATGATTGAAGGGGAAATCAATAGAATGTTAAATTTACAAATAGTAATAATTAATAGAAATGTACTACATGCACGAATAACAGGAGTGAAGAATATACAAAAGGAAAAATTGGTTGACAAATTAGTAGCGTGTGCACAAATTGTTTTAGTGAGGGGTTGGAAAGATAAAACAAAATGGACACTGATTAATTGGTATAACTATACAGTTAATATGTTAAATGTGGAAATAACAAATTTCAAATGGAATAATATAGATAAAATTGAAAAGGTTACAATAAACAAGAGGATGTGGGAACCAGTTAGGAATTATTTAGAGAATGTGCTAAGATGTGGAGTAGAAACATTAAGACTGAGACTGATATTTCAAATGTAACTTCTGTAGTTTGATGCATAAATTGCATGTACAAGGGGGGGGGGGCAACAAAACAATTTTTAAAAGAGATAAATATAGTAGTTTATTCATGATTTTAAAAACAAAAATCCCAATTTAAATTTTTAAATGCCTATTATTGATTTTAAAAAACAGCATCAGGTTTTACACATCTTGCCTTCTTTGGTTGGTCATCTTTCATGAATGTTACCATATATACTCATGTATAAGTTGATCTCATTTATAAATCAAGGACAAGATTTGGAGCCAAAATTCTCAATTTTGATATGACCCATTGACAAATTCAGAGTCATTCTGTGAAGACAGGAAATAAGCAGCATCACTTCTGGCAGGCCACCCATCCTTGACCAGCAGAGGCATTCTGAGGCATTCAGAAAAGCAAAAGCAGTGCCAGGCCAGACAGAGTAGAGGGAGAAACAGTGCTTCTTTTAGTTCTCCCATGAGATAATAAACTCCCACTTTTCTCAACTTTACTCAAAGAAGGGGATAATTGTTTTTTTAAAATAATGTTTTTATTGAACATTTCTCATTTTGTGTTGTCGAAGGTTTTCATGGCTGGAATCACTGGGTTGCTGTGAGCTTTCCAGGCTGTATGGCCATGTTCCTGAAGCGTTCTCTCCTGAAGTTTCCCCCCACATCTATGGCAGGCATCCTCAGAGGTTGTGAGGTCTGTTGGAAACTAGGCAAGGGAGGTTTATATATCTGTGGAATGCCCAGTGTGGGAGAAAGAACTCTTGTCTGCTGGAGGCATGTGTGACTGTTGCAATTGGCTACCTTGATTAGCATTGAATAGCCTTTCAACTTCAAGGTCTGGCTGCTTACTACCTTTGTTAGGAGGTGTTAGCTGGCCCTGATTGATTCATGTCTGGAATTCCTCTGTTTTCTGAGTGGTGTTCTTTATTTACTGGCCTGATTTTAGAGTTTTTTAATACTGGTAATCAGATTTTGTTCACTTTCATGGTTTCCTCCTTTCTGTTGAAATTGCCCACATGCTTGTGGATTTCAATGGTTTCTCTAAATAAAGAAGACCACTCAGAAAACAGAGGGATTCACAACAACCCACTGATTCTGGCCATGAAAGCCTTTGACAACACAATACAAATCTACTTGGGAGGTGCTAAGACATCAATTGTCTAAAATCTCTTAAATGTCGGGTAACTAAGTAGTTCTCTCTCTCTTTGTGTGTATATGTGTGTGTGTGTGTATATAATACACACACATACATACATAGGGATAGTTCCTTTTTGGTGAGAGTTATGATACAGTATTCCCATTGACCCATAGATAAGTTGCCCAAGGTATTTGAGGCAATGTTTAATTAAAATGTCTCCATTTATGCATGGGTATATACAGTAGCTATTTTAAGCAAACAGCCATGTTCTGTACATCGTTGTGTTTCTAAGGAGAACCTGTGTTTGACCTGTTTTTGTGGATGCCATTTGCTTTTTCAAAATTCAGCTACATTTGAGGATAAGAGAAAAGCAAACTATGAGAGAGGGAACATGGAGCTTGAGAAACGACGGCAAGTACTTCTGGAGCAGCAGCAACGAGAGTTGGAGCGTAAAGCTCAGAAGGAAAGAGAAGAGAGGGAGCGGAGGGAGAGGGAGAAACAGGAGCAGGAGCGAAAAAAGCAACTAGAACTGGAAAGGCACTTGGAAAAACAGCGTGAGCTGGAAAGGCAAAGAGAAGAAGAAAGAAGGAAAGAAATTGAAAGACGGGAGGTTGGTCTGCTCAGTGTTTGTCCTTTCTTTAAATTGGGCAAGTCTGTATCCAGTTTGCTATGTGATGATGCTGTTGGCTCAGATATGCTGGGGCCCTGGCAAATACATGCTTTCAGATAAGATATGCTCACTGCTCCAATTGTTTGAATCGTAACGGAGAAATTGGGATTTGTGGATGTTTTTTAGCTTTGATTTCATTTTGAGCAATTCAGGAACAATACTGCATCATCTTAATATCAATAATAATCTGGCCCGGAGGAAATAATTGTGGTTTCATTCATCTTGATTTTTGAAATAGAATGTAAAATTATATTTAAAGTTCAAAAAATGTAAAATAAAGTGTGTATGAAAATAAATTCATTTTTAATTTTAAAAAATTTAATATAGAAGGATGTTTTTTGTTTGTTTGCATCTGGAGCTCATAGCAAACAGAATGCAAAAGGCCCTCCCTATAAAAATTTCGTAAATATTTTGCTACCTCATATTTAACATGTAAATTATAGTGGTCCCCAACCTTTGGGCCTCCATGTGTTTTGGACTTCAACTCCCAGAAATCCCAGCCAGCTTATCAACTGTTAGGAACTGTGGGATCTGAAGTCCAAAACACCTGGAGGCCCAAAGGTTGGAAACTACTGAGTAAAAGTATAAATCCAAGAGATTTTCCAAGAGACATTGGCTTGGCACTTGCGATTCTGCTTTTTAACACCAAGGGTGCTTTTAAGCTGAAGAATTAATGCGGTTTGACCCGACTTGAACTGCCATGGCTCAGTGCTGTGGAATCATGGGAGTTGTATTTTGATGAGCCAATAGGACAGTTTGGCAAAGAAGGCCTTGTAAAACTACAACTTCCATGATTCCATAGCATTCAGCCATGGCAGTTCAAGTGGGGTCAAACTGCATTCATTCTACAGTATGGATGCATCCCTTGGATCTCATTTTCTGAGGCCTTTTATTTACTTGGTGTTTTTTAGATTGTTTACTAGTTCTGAGTTTTTAATTTTAATTTTATTCCTTTGTTGTTTTACATTTTGTTTAATTTTTTATCTTTATGTTTTACGTTGCATGAGTTTTATGCTTTTATATTAACTTCTTAATGGTCATATTTGTACTTATTAATCTTTAGGCAGCAAAGCAGGAACTTGAACGCCAGCGGCGTCTGGAATGGGAAAGGATTCGCCGTCAAGATCTTCTTAATCAACGTAACAGAGAACAAGAAGAAATTGTGAAACTGACCTCAAAGAAGAAAAGTCTTAATCTTGATTTAGATGCATTGGTAAGTCATAAAGAACATAAAGAACCACAGTTCTGAACTGTGGTTTCACACAGCTGGAATATCTTCCTCTGTGTTCAAGGTTTCCATGTGACGGCATAATTGAACTTAAAAATGTATTATTTTGCTCATCCTTTTGCAGGCCAAAAAAAAAAAACTAAATATTCTTGTACATCTATTTTTATACTTCTTCTAATTGGGTCATCACTTCCTCCGTTTTTTGTAGTTCAGACTGTAAGTTCTTTTGTAGCTAACAGAAGGCACAAATAAATTCAAGATGTCTTTGATTGGAGAAATGATACAGCACAAACTATACATTTCAGTAAGGATAGATGTAAAGTATTGTTTAGTCAGGAGAATAACAGCTGTGCGTATATAAGATGAGTGCCACATGCTTTGCCTGCAGTGTGTGTCCAAGGGATCTCGGGCCCTTAGTAAACCAAAGACTAACCATTTCTCTATTCTGCTCTGGTTAGGCCTCACGAGGACATTGTGCCCATTTCTGGGCACCAGAGTTTCAGAAAGACCTTAATAAGCTCAAATTGTACCCAGAAAAGAGAGACAAACGAAACTGAAGCCTATGAAAATCATGCCTTATGAAAATTGAAAAAGTAGGGGTAGTTTGATAAAAAAAGTTGTGAGAGATGATTATACATTAACTATTCACTAAGTATTTGAAGGATAGGAAACATATCAATTTAAGCCAAGTGTGGGAATAAGTGCAAGGTTATCCTTTCCTTTTTCCTCAGCCAAAACACTTCCAAATACTTCCAGAAACTTGCTTTTATTGACATCTGCAGGATATAAGTGTTTTAAAAGGATAAATAGATGTACACAACACACAACTACAGCAAGATTGTTCCAGACATCACCCTTATTTTCCTGCAGTTATTATGCTGTAACTACTGGGATCTAGTTTCCTTTTGATTAAGAAAAAAATGCTCTCTTTTGAAGCTATAAGTCATGAGTTTTGTCATCTTACCTTTAGAGGTCTCCCCTGAGAGTCAAAACAAGTCACTTTGGAATCATGGGATTTGCAGTTTGCAGATGGGGCTTTCAGAGTCTCACAAAGCTCATGTGCCTTCCTAAATTATAAATCTTATAATCCCTCAGGTTGTCACCTTGGCAGTTGCAGTACCATATAGTGCTATAACAAGATGATGTGATAGCTCCCATAGAGAATTACTTTTATGTTATGAGATTAGATGTTTGATATTTCCGATTTTTTTCTCTCGGTAGAGTGATAAACACCAGCAGATCTCTGGGAGACTGAAAGATGTACGAATCAGAAAGCAAAACCATAAAAATGAGCTGGATCTTTTGGATAAGAAATATGATTTGGGAATTATTGAAATCAAAGAACTACAGCAACAACTTCAGGTATGTCATAATTACATTAGACATCTAGGCAGAGAGTAAAGGACTGTATGGATTTATTTAATATATATAACTAACTGTATGTATTTATTTAATATATAGCTTACTCTTCCGGTTATGATTCCAGGGCAGGGCAGATACGTATCATGAAAACAGGACACAATTAACATTACAGCTTAATTGAGACCACAACTTCATGAGGGGAATTTAACTTTCTTATATTATTAATCAATTTCTGAAAGCTTGTGTAAAAAGATGCATCCTGTCGCAGTAGTGAAATACATGCAATAAAGGTACCAAGTACACGTTCAAAACATTCGTAGGATCTAAAGCCTTTTTAGGTATCACTGGCCCATGAATCAGATCTTTGTGCTGTCTGTGCTATAAAAATATTTTTCAGATTTTTGAAACATTACTTCTGTTAAAACATCCACATAAAAATGTAAATACAGCAGAATACCCAAAGAGAGCACCCAAATTCAGTCTTTTTTGTATATGTGTTGTTTTTCAACTGTAGTGTAACTAGTATGTGAGTGTTGTGTTTGAAAGATCTGAAAGTCTATAATTGCTTTTATAAAATTTCTAACATTTGAAAGAAGCATTTTTCATCCTTCATGATGAAAAATGTAAGAGCCCAAACTAAATCATTGGTTCCCAATCTGTGGTCTGTGGACCACCAGTGGAAGAACTAAAATATGGTCCACAGACTCACTGTTACTACACCGTTGCAAAGAGAGCAACTGGTCTCGTGAAACCCTCTTATAGTGCCAAGACGTACTAAATATGGTTTTCTGTGGGCTGGTTGGCATATGTTCTGTATCAGAAACTAAAGCAGATGTGGTCTATCCAATGCAATTTTATGAATCAGCACCTCAAATAACCAAACCGAATCTAAAGTTGACCAAAAACTGATTCGTAACCCTTTTGGTACTAATGGTGGAGAGTGGTCTCTGGTCAAAGTAGTCTCCAGTCAACTGGTCCCTGGTCAAGTGGACCTGGTAAAAAAAAAAGGTTGGGAACCACTGCTCTAAAGTCTCCCCGCTTAAGCCCCTCCACCATACAAACAGATATATACATACCATTTTTGTTATTAAGGAAGGAACTGCTGTGCAATTGCGCCTATCCCCACGATCACATTTCCCCCTATGAACTGGCACGGACTTTTAGATCTTCCGAAGAGGCCCTGCTCTTGCTCCCTCCACTGTCTCAAGTGCAGTTGGTGGGAATGAGGGAGAGGGCCTTCTCAGTGGTGGCCCTCCCCAGAGAGCTAAGGCAAGCTCCAAAAGGACTTAAAGGCCTGGTGGTTCCAGCAGAGTTTTGATAATGATTAGCCCCAGGTCCTACCCTGGCCAACAGTTAGGTTCCCGCTCTGCACTCTATCCAATTCCCTGGCCCTCTGCTATGTCATTGACCTTGACCTGGTCTAGCTCTATTATAGCTATTCAGCAGGCCCTGGAAAAAAATAGCCCCAAGCACTAGCTTGACCATTACTTAAGGTCCTGTTCTGCACTTTACTCACTTCCCCGGCCCTAAGTTTCCTATTGGCCCAGCCCTTTCATATCTGTGCCTCAGGCCTTGGAAATAAATATCTCTAGGTCCCACCCTGACCATCATGCAGGATCATGCTTGCACTTTATCCACTCCCCTGGCCCTAGTTCACTTCGTTATATTAGCCCAGCCCTCCCATAGTTATCGAGGCCCACTCTCAAATCTTGGCCATAGGAAACTGAACTTGCCCAGTGTAATTAGGACTGAACTGATTTTTAATTTTAAATATGTATGACTGTTTTATAGTATTATGTTTTTGTTTATAATGATTACTTATATATTTTTATGTCTGTAATTGCAATGTTTGACCTATGCTAGAAACCGCCCTGAGTCCCCTTGGGGAGATAGAGTGGTATACAAATAGAAGGTTGTTATTATTATTATTATTATTATTATTATTATTATTATTATTATTATTGACACAAAAACACAGTATGTCACAGCAAACAAGATTTTTATGCTGGATTTTGTATCACAAAATCACAAGTCAAACACTTCCCAAGCGTCTAGGACTGTGTGATGTATTTTTGAATGATGCGCGCAGATCCAAGTAAGGTGGCCTTTTGCAGTTGACAGATTGTGATTTTGTTGATGTTTATTGTTTCCAAATGCTGGCTGAGATCTTTTGGCATTGCACCCTGTGCGCCAATGACCATTATTATTATTATTATACTTCAGGTTGCATTATACAATTAGTTTAGTGATACCACATACAAATTATGCTTATGTACCTTTTAAATTTATCTCCCAACTCTGCAGGAATATCAGAACAAGTTGATCCTCCTTATTCCTGAAAAACAGCAGCTAAATGAGAAATTAAATCACATGCAACTCGACAACTCCTCTAGTATGTACATATACATTTTTGTTTTCTTTCCCCAAGTTTTCTTCTGTTCACTGGAATGAAACTTAAGCAATCATGAGAGTATAGGAAGGAGAAAAGAAAGTAAAAGGTTGAGAAAGAGTAAGGAAGTGTCTGAGTTTACAATTGTGGGAATATCAGAAGAGCAAAGTGGATAACTATCTTGCTGAACTGTGAAAAAAAGAGTTATCTGAATATAGAAAAGAAAGTCTGAGGTTGGACCTGCAGGACCTCCTTCTCCCGTCTAGTCCATCCCTTAGGACATGTAGATCTTATGAGGGGCATTTACTCCAACCAGCCAGAACCCGACTGGCAACCGTCACCCAGAGGACCTTTTCATTGGCTGCCCCGAAACTGTAGAATGACCTCTTGAAAAACAGATTAGGAGGAGGCATTCTTTAAATGCTTGAAGGGCCATCGTATAGAAGTGGGGAAAGTCTTGTTCTATGGTGTCCATCTTCCCAAAACAGAGCCTGTGATAGAAGATAAATCTTCACTGACAGGCTTCTGGAAGGAAAAAAAATCCCAACAGGAGACTGTGTGTAAAGTCCCACCTGCACTTCCATAATAGTGTAGTTTGACTCATAATGCAGTTTAATTGCAAACCGCAATATATTGCAATTTAGCTGGGGCCTAAGAAAGAGGTATATGTGTGTTATGTGTGCATGTTTGTGTATGTGTGAGCTTGCACATGTGCCTGTGTTAACGTATTCATATGTCCCTTTGCAAATTGGGTCTTGGTAATCTATTTGGAAATATGTTGTCGAAGGCTTTCATGGCTGGAATCACTGGGTTGTTGTGAGTTTTCTGGGCTGTATGGCCATGTTCCAGAAGCATTATCTCCTGACGTTTTGCCCACACCTGTGGCATGCAGCCTCAGAAGTTGAGGGGTCTGTTGGAGATTAGACAGGTGGGGTTTATTTAACTGTGGAATGTCCAGGGTGGGAGAAAGAACTCTTGTCTGTTTGAGGCAAGTGTGAATGTTGCAATTGGCTACCTTGATTAACATTGAATATCCTTGCAGCTTCAAAGCCTTGAAGCTGCAGCTTCAAAGCCTTGAATACATGCTAGCAGTGGGATTGTTCTACTCATTTGGGGATCTAGAAAAAAAAACAGTTCAGTCCTTTTGGTTTGAATACTGTTCCTCACCTCCATTTTTTAGGGTTTGTTCATTTGTATTTAACTATGATCTCTATTAGAATCCCTGTTCACTCTTGGATTAATTGAGTGTATTTAGCCAAATCCAAACTTTTAGTCTAGAGTCCCTGGTCAATGATAGTGCTTAGCTGACATGATTGCTTCAGGAATTGATGAGCTGGGATCTAAAACATTGTTATTTTTTGCAAAAGAGCATTGAAGAAAAAATAGATTTGTATACAAATGTGGTCATTGAACAATGTGTCTTTCATCTTCAGGAACAGATCTTAACTCACTGCACAAGAAGTCTTCAGAGAAAGAAGAATTATGCCAAAGACTTAGGGAGCAACTCGATGCCCTAGAAAAAGAAACGGCTTCCAAGCTCTCCGAAATGGATACTTTTAATAGCCAGCTCAAGGTAAAGTCTTGATTCATATTTCCAACTTATCAAGTTTCAAATTATGAGATCTTTTTCAGTAGCTTCTGCAAGTGAACCTCCATGAAAGAGCATTTCTTGCCTCCCACATCTTTTCGTTCATGCTGTTCAGAGGCTAAGTCAATGTTCACCTTAACTGATGTTTTAAAAAAAGTATAAAGAGTGGTTTCTGTCACTATTTTGCAATTTGAAAGGCAGTGTATGGGCGACGTTTTATATGTTAAGTAAGTATTAATGTATATATTGTGTATATGAAGCAAAACAAATTGTGGGATATGCAGAAATAATCCTGGTTTTTTATATGTATTTAAACACCTTTAATTCATGAAAGTTAACCACTATAATAGTAATACATAAAGCAAAGCTATCTATTTCTCTCACCATCTTTACCATTTAACAAAAATCAGGGCAGCTGTGCTTTTTTCTTTATGGCTTGCACATTTTGCCCAGGACTATCTCCATCTCTCACACTCTTACTTCCAATCTAGAGGAAAGAATGCTATCACTTAGGAAGCTGGTCGAAATGTCCTATCCTCTTTACAATTTCTTTCCTCGCTCAGAACAAAAATAGATACATAGAGATAAACTGGTGTGTTTATTAAAAGGACTGCCCAGTCCAAGTGTTTTTCAAAGATTTGTTTTTCATGTCAGGAGCGACTTGAGAAACTGCAAGTCGCTTCTGGTGTGAGAGAATTGGCCGTCTGTAGGGAAGTTGCCCAGGGGATGCCCGGATGTTTAATGTCTTACCATGCTTGTGGGGGGCTTCTCTCATGTCCCTGCATGGGGAGCTGGAGCTGACAGAGGGAGCTCAACCCGCTTTCCCTGGATTTGTACCCCTGACCTGTCAGACAGCAGTTCTGCCAGCACAAGGGTTTCACCCATTGCGCCACCAGGGGCTCCTTTTTCAAAGATGATGAACCATAACAAAAGACAGACAGGCCTTGAAATTGTCCATGAACATGCAATACCTGGAGAACAAACTGAGAAAAAAGCCAATTCTCACAGTCTACTATGGTGAAATGTATTATATTTCACTTTAAATTGCATTATCTCTAAATTTGCACCTATGAATCTAAATGAGCAAATGTAGGTTTGCCTGCCTGTGTGTTTTTGCTCTGCCTCTTGTTCTCTTTTTTGCATCCAAATCACCAACACCTTTTACTAATATGTAAGTAGCCTCTCAGTGTAACTGAAAGGGAAACTCTTTGCTTTGCTCCAAGAAGATCTGAGCACCTTGCAAGGTGATTGGCGGCCTGAGCTAAGAGCTTTTCCCCTGATCTTGAAATGGCAGGGGGGCAAGGGGAGCCTGGCCCTTCAAAACAACCATGCACTGGTATGGATTATCAGTTAGGCAGGCACAGCACCCCTTTCTCTTGAGATCTGCTGCTTTGGGGCAAGTGGGAAAGTGTGCGGTGACTGCTCTTGTCTTTTCTCTGGAGACCAATGAAACTTGAGATGCTGTTTGATGAGAAAGTGATTTTTTTGGCCAGTGTTGCATAGAGGTTCAATAACACAGTATAAGACAAAATAGCACAAGAGGAATGTTTCAGTAGGCTCAGGTGGCTGGATTTACTTGGAGTCCTGGCCTCTTTCTCCTTCCCCTCCAGTTTTCAGGTATTGCAATACTGCCACCCCTTCAATCCATTTTAGGATAAAGAAGACCTAACCTATAATAAGAAGGCCAGTTCTATCTAGAAAAGATATAATTTTTAGCCTGTATACCTGATAAAGTAAGATGGAGATTTGATTGTTCTTTTATTAAAAGTGGGCTAGCATGATTAATATGTGACATGCCAGTTCTTCATTTCAAAATGATCCAGTGCAGTATCATAGATTCCCGACATGTATAACAAATGTAGTACAAAGTTTAACAGCTTTTTGTCTGACTTATCTTACAGTGTGAGACAATGGATGCTTCTGTTCTTCAGTGCCTTTTGTGTCTGCTAAGCTGTCTCAACAACCTCTTCCTCTTACTTAAGGTTATTTTCTAATCTTTGGCCTTTTTGCTTCTAATAATTTCATTGTTTTCTCTGGGTCTGTGTTTTTAAACAAAATCTTTGGCGCTTAACTTTAAAACTTCCCTAATGCAATAATCATTACTGAACAGCATGCTCTTTTTTTTTTTTTTGGCCTTTCTGCTTGCTCTTGAACTCTGTTTGCTTACTGAATGCTTTAAATTCGCTAATGAAGCAGGAATAAAAAGAATAATATAAAAGTTATTAACATTTCTAAGGTATTTAAGTGTTACCAGTTTTAGATATTTTTAAATAAATTCCTCATGCTACACAGATTTTCATCCATCTTTAACAATTTACTATTTCATCTGAAATGGAATCGGTATCAAGACTTTCGAAGGCTTTCATGGCCGGAATCACTGGATTGTTGTAGGTTTTTTCGGGCTATATGGCCATGTTCTAGAGCAGTGGTTCTCAACCTGGGGTCCCCAGATGTTTTTAGCCTTCAACTCCCAGAAATCCTAACAGCTGGTAAACTAGCTGGGATTTCTGGGAGATGTAGGCTAAAAACATCTGGGGACCCCAGGTTGAGAACCACTGTTCTAGAGGCATTCTCACCTGACGTTTTGCCTGCATCTGTGGCAAGCATCCTCAGAGGTAGTGAGGTCTGTTGGAACTAGGAAAATGGGTTTATATATCTGTGGAATGACCAGGGTGGGACAAAGACAAGAGACAAAATGAATTTCAAGAGGGAGAAATGTAGGATACTACACTTAGACAGAAAAAAATGAAATGTACGGTGGAGTCTGTTCTCTGGAGGTTTTTTCAAGAAAGGCTGGAGCTTTGACAGTGTGTGTTCTTTGACAGTGTGATCCTGCATGGTGGGGGTTGGACCGGATGGCCCTTGTGGTCTCTAGAATTCTATGAATAGTAAGGTTATGGTGCAGATTTTGATCAGATAGTACTGATGTCCTAATGAAAACTTTAGCATTTGTTAAGGAAAGCATTTGTTCACATAATGGGCTTGAAATATTTATCTGGCCTAAGACTAAATATGTCTCTCTATGGACACCCAAGACAATATTTTCTGTGTGCCTGTCAATTGCCAGATCTGTAATATGGTTTTAAATATTTGGAACATTAGCTTGAAGCGATGTTTTTGCCACAATTTGTTTTTGTTGTGCTTTTATTGTTTTAGCCTCAACATATTTCATCTGTGGATAAATCTCTATCGCTACAATTTTTGGCTAGGACAAAATATATCCAAATCAGTTCATGTGATAAGTTCGACAGGTTGAAAGAAAAACTTTTCACAGAAAGCATGTTGGTGAAATTAAAGGATTAATATTCAGCCAAGAATCTGAATACGGGAAGGTGCATTCGGGCTCTTGGCTGAATATTAGCCAGAAACAAACATTCTTTTGAATCCACATCCCAACTGGAAAACCCATTATTCTTGTCACAAAATACATACATAGGCCTCCTACTGTCTTTTCCTATTGAACCACTCTGCTGGTCTCCCCACTTGCTTTCCAGGATGTCCACTCTCCCCAGTGTGGGCCTCCCCATCTGAATCAGGGTTTAGCTATGATTCCAGCCTGACATTTTGCTTTGCAGGAGAGGGTTCCATTGAAACAAAATCAGGTTCTGTTTTCCAGTGCCAATTGCAGGTACTGGATCAGGAAGAGGTAAGGGACAGAATCAAAATTGCAAAGTTGAGACAAAGGGTTTAAATTTATATTAGGACCCCTTGTTGACTGTTTGCTTTGGAGCGGGGGTTGCTTTACATGTACACACCTATTGCCCTCTTTCCAGCTTCAGTTCCCACTGTCTTCTTCCCCCACTACCTTTATATATATATTTCCCCTCTGGGAGGTGAATGCCCAACATTTTCATTTTCCAAGCATGTAGGCCCATGTCAATATCCAGTGCCAGTCTGAATAAATAAACATGGTAATTTTCAGATGACATGGCGCCTGAATTTGTTTGTTTTAAAATGTGAAATAAAACAATTGAAGGGGATTGGACAGCTCTCAAAGGAGGCCCCTATAGGCATAGTGCATTGGAGATCCCTAGACTTAAACCAAAAGGGGAGTTTGTACCTGCTGTGTTTCAGAAGACAAATGTAATGTTATCATGTGAAATTATTGTATAACATGGTTTTGAAAATATTTCTTGTTGATAATAATATAGTATTTATTACATGATTACTGAAAATGTTTGCAGTATAACAGCATAACATGAACCTGTACATGATAGAGCTATTTTATTATGGAGAAGTGGACCAACTGCTTGCATTCAGGTAATTTCTGTGTTCAGGCAAACTTGAATCAGTTGTTGATTCAGTAGCCAGTTGTTATTTCTTTTGACCATTTACAAAGTCCTGTCCAGTCATGACATGTATTCAAACAATAAAAAGAAGATTGGTTTAGAAAATCCATAAATAGAATGTTATGTTGATAAAAGGAGAGCTATTTTAAAGTGTTCAGTTTAATTTTTTTTTGTTTAAATAGCAGTTTCAATCTATTATTATACACATAAAGACTCCAGGCTCTGCTTTTATAAGGAAAACTACAGCATTTATATCCTAGAAAATAATTCATAAAATTGCATTGGATAGACCACTTCAGGTCTAGTTTCTAATAGAGAACATATACTTGTCCACAGAAAACCATATTTAATAATCTAGAGCCGATGTAGTAATTTTTTGTGGGTAGTCAGCCTATCCCCCCCACCCCACCCTCCCCCCCCAACATCCTTGTTGCCTCAGCACTATAAGAGGGTTTCGCAAAACCAGTTGCTCTCACTGCCACATGGTTTCGAGGCAACAATGTCGTAATGGTGAGGCCGCAAACCATATTTTCGTTCTTGTGGACCACTGCTTTAGATAAAGGGGCAAAAACCAAGCAAACGAGAGAAGAAAAAGTAAATGAAAGGAAATATTTACAAAGCATTTTTCCAAAATATTCAAGAAAGCAAAATTTTTGAATTCATTCAGTCTAGTAGGAATCAATAGTATCAAGTCTATTCAAATGTTTAAATAGTTTCACTCTGATACTCCCAAAACAATCTTGCTTAATCCAGGACTGATTAAGAAAACCTGCCTGTAGTATTTTTCTTCTCAAATTCTGAAAGTTTACTAATTTATTTCATTATTTACACAATATTTCTTTAGCTTTAGCCACTAAAAGAAAGTAGTTGTAGTAGTGCTAGTAGTAATTATCATAATTACAAATGCAAATTTTGAAATATCTGAATATCTTTTATTTTTGAATCCGTTTACCTAAATCATTACATGTCTTACTGTATCATTGACTTGTAGTAAAGCTTGGATTACTAAGCATAATAAACTTGCTTCTCAGAGCAACGGTCTGCCTTAAACTCACTTTATTTTGTTTTTTTAAAAAATAGGAGCTGAGAGAAACCTATAACACACAGCAGTTAGCCTTTGAGCAGCTTCACAGGATCAAACAAGAAAAAATCCAAGAGTTAGAAAGAAAGAAAAATGAACTTGCACGGAAAAGAAGAATAGAGGATGAGGCTGCACGGTAATATGCTAAACTATTGTGGACTTGGAAGTTACCCTTTCATTGCACTCTCTGATCCCATTTAAATTCTTGGGAGGATATCCTTATTACATGGGATATTACAGACTTTCCACTGTTCTGGGAATCTACAAATTTCAAACTGGGAAATACAAATTAGTGTACCTCAGATGAAGGAAATACATGTCAGATCTTCCATCGAGACTAATAGGAGGCTTTCTTCCTTTTACATTACAATGCCAGTGGAAAGATAAGATTGGAACCTCTTCACAGTAAATCTATATAGTACTTATCAAATTTTACTATTCAGCCTTCCTTTTAAGCTTTGATATCATGAAGCTCTGATATACTGAGTGTTTTCTCCATTTTCTTCTTTAAGAAAAGCAAAACGGGACAAGGAGAACTTGTGGCAGGAAAATATCCGGAAAGAAGAAGAAGAAAAAAGAAAGCGATTACAGGAAGAGCGCATCCAAGAAAAACTCCAGGAAGAAAAACAAAAAGCTGAAGATGCAACTGCCCAACAACGAGAGGTCCAGCAGCAAAAACTGGCAGAGGAGAAACCTGAAGTGGGAAGAAGGAACAAAGAAGCCGAAATTTTGAGAGATTCTGAACAGCAAAAGCAGAAACAAAAAGAAGACAAAAGAAGACAGGAAAAGATTGCGAAAGAAGTCGAGGAAAGGCATAAGCACTTTGATGAAGAGAAGAAAAGAAAAGATTCAGCCAATTTGCGAGAGTCAGAAAAGGCTATTTCTCAGTCAAACTTACTTGAAAGAAATACAGACATCCTCACAGAGACTAAGAATCAATTGCTTAAATCACCATTTAAGCATGAAGGTATTGCACCCATGTTTTTGTGCACATATGGTTACTTTTAAATGTAATGCAGAATCCCGAGTTCAGACTCCCTGACAGAGCCATCATTAAATGGATTTCTGCTCCTGCTATTGGAATTTCAAAAAGGGGGGAAGCGTAGGTATAAATAATATATATACCCCTCTCCCTACTGGCTTCACCAGTGGGATCCTGCACTGCCTTTTAGTCTTCTCCATGGATACAAGGACTCCTTTCAATCACAGATGCCTGGCTGAGCTACATTGCATTGTGTCTATAATGTGTTGCTAGATGTTTCTAGTTACTCGTATATACTCAGGTATAAGTCATCCTCATGTATAAATCAAGAACAGGGTTTGGGGCCCAAATATGGATATGACCAGTGGATAAGTTGAGTCACTCCATGGAGAGAGGAAAGCACCAATGCTACCTTAAGAGGAAAGGCTACTCCTTACTACTGCCATTTCCACTCCCTGACATTCAAAAAAGCCTTTTGCCACTACTCAAAGGAGGGAATGGATCCTAAATTCATAAAAATAAAGGTATAATATTAACTCTTACCAAAAAAGGAACAGTCCCCTTGTCTGAGTACAGTGGCAAAAGGCAAAGCATTGTCTGTCTTGAGAGAACCTAAAAGTAGTACTAATGCCCTATACTCTCTCAGTACTCCTTTCGTGGGCTGCTGCTGCTGCCGTTTTCCCACCCAAATACTCTAAAAGTCCAAACATGGAATTCAGTGGGTTAGTGGTTCTCGTAGGTTCTCCTGGAATGGATTACACTCTCATCTTTACATAGGGTTCCTTTTTTGAAAAAAAAAGTTTAGATATAGTACTTACATTAATCCATGGATGCATTCATCCAAGTTTTCTGGGTCCATCTTCTGATATATTTATCATGTCAGAAACAAATTAGGGGTACAGTTCTAATGTATTTTAAACACAAACAAGGTTAAAACCTTGGCATTACACTAAATGTCCTTTGACCAGTAGCTGGCCACTTGGAGTGCCTCTGGTGTTGCTATAAGAAGTCCTCCATTGTGCATGTAGCAGGGCTCAGACTACATTGTAGTAGGTAGTCTGTAGTTTGCACTTCTCCACAATCACATGTCATGGACTCCACTTTGTGGCCCCATTTCTTAAGGTTGGCTCTGCTTCTCATGGTGCCAGAGCGCAGCCTGTTCAGCACCTTCCAAGTTGCCCAGTCTTCTGTGACTCTTCTGATGAAAAATGTTAGACGTTTACATGAGTTCATACAGTAATTATTATGTATGACCATAAATTGGACCCCTTCTACACTGTCATAAAAATCTAGATAGTCTGCTTTGAACTGGATTATATGGCAGTGTAGACTCATATAATTCAATTCAAAGCAGATAATGTGCACTGAGCTGATGTATTTGGTCAAGACAACCTTTGTATTAACCAGGATTATCCACGTGCAAATCCTAAATATGTTACTGTTGCTTTATTTAATATTATTATTATTAATAATAATAATAATAATAATAATATAACTTTATTTGTATACCGTCCTGTCTCCCTGAAGGGACTCAAACATTCAATTGCCAGAAAGAAAAACATACAGACAAATTACATCAAGACAAACACATAGACAATATGAAAAAAAACTAATTTAACTTAATAAGCGAAATAACAAAAAATGAAAGCATCATAAAATACAAAAATCCTGCAAACACAAGTAGAATGAATATCTAGCCATTATTCTTCCTCATCCTTTTAGGTCATCCTGTTCATGCCTCTGAATCTGGGAAATTGGGTGGCTTTGTGAATTACAGAGCATTGTATCCATTTGAAGCAAGGAATCATGATGAGATCAGTTTCAATTCTGGAGATATAATTCAGGTAAGAAACAGGTGATGGGATGATTGTTTCTGAAAAATAAACAGGTTATTTATTTTGAAAAGAAGCTGTGTTTCTTCTCTACAATATACCTGAAGTGACATAGACTAAATTAAAGAATTAGAACAACAGTTAATGTAAAAAAGAATTGATAACGTTTTGTTTGTTAACAAATCAATGGTTTCTCATTGACTGTATGTATATAATTTCTTGCTTTTCCCCAGGTTACTGAGAAAACTGAAGGAGAACCTGGTTGGTTGTATGGGAGTTTCCAGGAGCGTTTTGGCTGGTTTCCCAGTAATTATGTAGAAAAAGTATCTGAAAAAGGAAAAAATGTTTCACCGGCTAAAAAAGCTTTACTTCCTCCAACAGTATCTTTACCTGCTGCCTCAGTTCGCGTGGCGTAAGTAATGCTGAGGCCTCCAATACCGCTCTGAACATAAATTATATACAGTTTGGTGTTTTTTTGAGAGAATACTTTGTAATAACTATAAGTAAAGGTTAAGGGTTTCCCCTGACATTAAGTCTAGCGGTGTCCCACTCTGTGGGGTGGTACTCATCCCCATTTCTAAGCCGAAGAGCCAGTATTGTCCGTAGACACCTCCAAGGTCATGTGACCTGCATAGAGCCCTGTTACCTTCCTGCAGAAGCAGTACCTATTGATCTCACATTTGCATGTTTTCGAATTGCTGGGTTGACAGAAGCTGGGCCTAACAGCGGAAGCTCACCTTGCTCCCCAAATTCGAACCGCCAACCTTTCAGTCAGCAAGTTCAGCAGCTCAGCTGTTTAACCCACTGCGTCACCAGGGGGCCCTGTAATAGCTATACAGTAGCTGTGTAATTTTAAAAATGAGGAAGTATTTAAATTGTATTCTAGTTATTTTTTGTATACTAAGAAGTAAAATCCATGATTCTCATGATTCACCTGCACATTAATAGGGTTTATGTTGCATTCAATGTAGAACTTTCTAAGATCGTTCCTTTCCATATGAAATGATATAATACTATGGTTAAAAGCCAGGGATTGATCTGAAATTACCGTATATTCCGGCATATAAGACGACTGGGCGTATAAGACGACCCCCAACTTTTCCAGTTAAAATATAGAGTTAAGACGGCTCCCATGCATAAGACTACACCCGCATATAAGACGACCCCTAACTTTTGAGAAGATTTTCTTGGGTTAAAAAGTAGTCTTATACGCCAGAATATACTGTACTCAAAGGGATGGAGAGGCTATAAACTCATGAAGCATAATCATGCCAGCATTTGAGTATCACTGGGATCCCAAAAAGCCAGGTAGTTGAACTGTTGCCAGTGAAGGAATCCACAGATAAGGGATCTCTAATAGATGCACATTCAACCAGTGGTTGAAAACATTCAACAAAGAATCTATCACTTTCTGAAATAGTCCTGTTCACTTGCTTTTTGGCAGTTTTTCCTAGTCTTTAAGAATCTTAAGAAGGTTTCTTGTAGGAAAGTAGGAAACAAGCCTACTTCATCTTCTACACAGCACTCTTTTTGATATTAGAAGATATAGTTTTACTTCTATGTCTGTTTAACTTGCAGATCAACTTCACCAAATAAGCCAACAGAAGAAACTGATTATCAAAATATACCTTTCTCAAGTTTAAATGTTAACACATGGCAGAAAAAATCTGCCTTTACTCGCACAGCATCCCCAGGATCTGTTTCTCCCATCCATGGACAGGTATGTTCTACTGAGAGGAAAGCGTGTTATGGTTCTGTAACCTTGTAATTTATTCTTCTTACCTCAGAATGTATTCCATAAGAAATCAATTGTTGAGCTTTCATATAAAGGCCTACAGTCTACAGCTGTAAAACTGGCTAACCATTTCCCCCCTGCTCTTATTCAAACAGATTACAACAGAACTGTACCAGTTTTGCCTTTTATTAGCTGCCAAAATCTGTCAGAGTTTTATTAGCTTAAACAAATATGCAAAACAGTGGAGAAAACATTACCTTTGAATATAAAATGGAGTTTCCGGAAATTCTGTTTTCTTTTTAAAAAAATAATTTTTATTGATTAATATAAACAGAAAAAATTAACATATAGTTAAGGAGAAAGAAAAAAATGTATAGAAGGTTATATGTTTTCACATGGAAAGTGGGAGAACAGTGTATAGTACACTAGAAATTCTGTTTTCTAAAGGAAATCTAATATTGAAAATAGTTGTCAAGTATCCATATTACATGAGGAACTCCAGTTCCCATGTTTGTGAGGTTGTGGCGGAAGTGTAGAGACAGGTTGAGATAGACGGAGGGAAAGATTGTGGTCCTTTATAGAGAAAAGGTGGAGGAGCAGCAGCAGCATCCTAGCTGAGAAGACAAAGCTGGATGCATTGCAGAAAATTGCAGAGATAGTTGTTTAATGTTTTGTTCATTGGCTTTCTTTTGCTAGGGCCAAGTTGTAGAAAACGTAAAAGCGCAAGCACTTTGTTCCTGGACTGCAAAGAAAGATAACCACTTGAATTTTTCAAAAAATGATATCATAACAGTATTGGAGCAACAAGAAAATTGGTGGTTTGGAGAAGTAAATGAAGGAAGAGGATGGTTTCCCAAATCCTATGTAAAGATCTTGCCTGGAAATGAACGCCAAAGGGAGGAGTAAGTAAGGCTGTGAAAATTTGGTAGTGAATACATTTTTTAAAGTATGTCTGAGAGAGTGTACAATATAAATTGAACACTTAGGCTGGTTCAGAGGTGCGCCCATTCATTCTGTCTTTCAGAGGGCATTCCATACGTTGGGGATTAGTCTTGCACTCAAGCCAATAAGCTGTGTCTCGTAGTTTCTTCCTCTTTGGGGGACTGAAGAAGGAGGAGGAGCTACCTTAATTTCCCAGACTTCCCCAGCCTAAAGTCAGTGTTGCAGAGTTGAGTTGAGCTCTCTGGGGGTCAGAGAACTGTCTTGCAAGATTTTCAGCTGTGTTCACACCTCCCACCCAACACAACTCTGAGAGCAACAGAACATTATAGAAGAAAATATGGATAGGTTTTTTGGGGCAAGCCCAACACCCTATCTAAGCATACAGTGAAACTTTGACTTACAAGTGAACCAACTTTTTTGAGATACGAGCTGTTGCATGATCTATTTTTTTTTTATTTGCAATCCAGTGTTTGAGTTACAAGCTTGAGTATGCCACCCGCCATCTTCAACAGGGCTTTAAGGGAGCAGCCAGGAAAGCTTCTTGCTGTTATTTCTGTAACAACAACAACAATATTTTATTTATACCACACCACCATCTCCCATTGGGACTCAGGGCAACTTACAAGCACACAATGGTGCCATACAACATATAAAATACAACATAACAACGTTAAAACCATTAATACTTTAAAAAACCCAAACATATAAAGGTAACAAGAGCAATAAAATCAATTAAATATAGCAATAGTCAATAATTAAAAGATTAATCAATTTAGCCATCCTTGCCTAAAGATAGTGGTCCGGCTGCAATCCCAGGGCTTTGGGAGATTGTAGGAAAGCCAAGGGGCCAGGAGTCTGTCATCAGTAAACTTGTATCCTGATTAAAATAGGCAAGTTACACAGATACCTGTCAGTCTAATTGATCATTGCAGGAGAATTTTACTGAAGTTTCCCACTCATAACAGGAAAAGGAAACTTAAGTTATTGGCCTTTATCCTTCCAGTTCTGCCTGCTCCTATCCCGAGAGAGCTTCCCTTACCTTTCCTGAAAATAAATCATGAAGTCAAGACATTGAACCAAGTGCCTGTTAGCATTCAAGCACATCCCTTGAAGCTTATTAAAGTGGCACACAAGAAGTAATTTAAGTGAAACCTTAATAAATCCAGTTTATTTCTTTACATTCTCTTTTATTATGCGTTATTATTAATTTTTATACATTATTTGGTATTTATAAAGTACATTTCTCTTTAAAAATAAATATCAGAAATGTTATGGGTTTTGTGGGGTTGGAATTGAGTAATAGCATATCAATTGATTTCAATGTCTGCTTTGACATACGATTAATTTGAGCTGAGAGCTCGGTCACAGAACAAATTAAACTCATAAGTCAAGGTATCACATCTGTTTGGGTCCAGTAGCTATTACAGCAATAGAAAGATGACTCTCCACTCTAATCTTTATTGTACACTGAGGACTATGAAGATGGGAGGGTAGGACAGCAGTGATCCTGCCCTCCAACTTTTATTGGCAGATAGAGAACTGAGTTCCCTGGTACTAACACCAGTATGGGGATGGTAAGAACCCAGGCATCCCACAGTCACCCACCCCCCTCTCTTTTTTGAGGCCCAATATCATTTATATCTTCTTCCTGCAACCAGGGTTCAGGTAGGGGCTGTTTTTCCCTTCATATGTGCTATTCATTGCTTAAGAGACAGTAGAGGTGACATCTCTGTGAAAATCCAGCTCACAAGTAAGAGCACACACAGGATTCCTCTCCCTTACTTGACTTTAGCTTTGACAGGAGCATATAGTATTCCTGTGTTGTCACATAATTTAAATTGAGCTCAAAGAGCATGCACCCCAGTGTAGAAACATAGCCTATGCTAACTCTCCTTCCGAAATGGAAAAAAGCAGCAGCAGTACTCTGGGGTTGTAATAGAAGGAATGGGGTGCTTATATTCCAGTCTCCTAGCTCATCTTCTGAGTCTTTCAAGCATTTCTCTAGCTGGGATTCTTTTGGTGTGTCTTGAGGCAAGGCCGAGGGAGGCACATAGTGGCCTCCCTTGTTTTTTCTCCTTCTGACAGGTCTACAGTATCAGCAGATGCTTCTTTAGACTCCTTCCTCCTTCATGAGTATTTATGCCACTTCTATCAATATTGATGCTTGTGACATGCATACTGGCACTTGAGCAGAACATACTATTTAAAAAGTAACGCAAGACTCTTTGGTTTCCCTTTTCCTCTTCTATTGATCCCCAGAGTCATCCAGAAGGTCAAGAATGTAGAAACAGGAGCCCGCCACTAGTTCCAGATTGGCTCGCTACTCATGGCCTCTCATTCCAGCCATGTTGCAGACTGCTTAGTTCAGTGGTCCTCAACCTGTGGGTCCCCAGATGTTTTGGCCTTCAACTCCCAGAAATCCTAACAGCTGGCAAACTGGCTGGGATTTCTGGGAGTCATAGGCCAAAACACCTGGGGACCCACAGGTTGAGAACCACTGGCTTAGTTCATTCTAGACTAGAGCTCTTCTAGCTAATAGTTTGGAAGCTGAATAACAGTGGATTTGATAACTGAGATATTAGAGGACATTTGGAAGATCCTCTTATCTTTTAGGAAGAATTCAACTAACAAAATAGTGTCTATAGGAGCCACTGGAGAGGGAGGAGAGTTTACAAACTAAGCACCCTCATGTGAAATTCTTTCTCAGTGGAACCAGTGCGGAATCCCCCTACTATAGTCTTCAGTTGATCTTAATTCTGATTTTCTTGGGCTATAAAACTAGCTTGTTTCAACAAACCAAGATTAATCATAGATTGGGTTTTGAATAACATACTAAACTGTAGCTCATGTTAATTAGAAGTGGGAAATTTCAGTATCCTACATATATGCACATCAGGAGAAGAATTAGCAGATGAGCATGGGAAGACACTAGGGTTGATTGTTGATAGCCATAAACCGCAAATTGTGTTGGTTTTGTTTTGTTATTGTTTCTGTGGATTGATTGTGTTTTGTAAGTTTTGAATCACATATCACTGAATAGCAAACACTGTATCTTGCAATGGCCAAAATAACTTTTTTTTTAATCTGCAGGCCAGAAGCTGTTTATGCAGCTATAAATAAGAAACTTACAAAGCCATCATATACTTTAGGAGAAGGTAAGAATTATATTTATAGAATCTTTGTCCTAACCTTTGCATTGTTTGGAGTTTTTCCCCTAAGTTTTTAATAAGATAGGGTCCTTCCAGATAGGCACTCTGTCCCAGGATATGATCCCAGATTATCTCTTTATCCCAGATTATCTGACAGTGTGGATACATATATAATCCAGTTCAAACAGAAAACCTGGGATCATATAATAATAATAATAATCATCATCGTCATCATCTTTATTTATACCCCACCACCAACTCTCTGATGGGGACTCAGGGCGGCTTACATGAGGCCAAGCCCAAACAACAAATTACAACAGAGTAAAACCAAAAACGCGAACCGAAAACGCAAACAATAAACGACAACATCATAATTACATAAAACATGTGAATGCATAACAATATAAAATTACAATAAGCACAAACACAGTAACAATGGGCGGGCTACATGTAATAATTAAAAGAAAAACTAATTAAAAACTCGGGTGAGATAAATTAGAAGCAGGTTATTTGCGGAAGAGGGCTCATTATAGCGGGGGTTGTGGAATCAAGCTTTCACACAAAGGGGGGTGGGGGAGGACATATACTCATATCCTGGGATATAGGGCCTGTCTGGAACGGCCTAGAGTTTGGAGAAGAAATGGTGAAAAAGCATGAATGATTGGAAAATACTGGCCACAGGTAGAAGGAATGTGGCATCTCAATCAAGGAAAAGAGAGCAATATATCACATAATCCCAAACTTACCAGTTCTAGCGGAATTCTTTAGTGGCTTTTGACAACCTTAAGGCAGCTTGAGTAGGAAATAAAACTGCTTTAAAAATGTCAGTTTTGTGTGAAGCATAGTACAGTACACAGAATCTTGCATATCTTTCTGATAATACCTGCACCAAAAGCCACATGATAGTTCAATTTTGCATGCATCCTTAACACATATCCTGGTTTACATATCTATTAAACTTATTTAAATGTCAGGATCACCGTATCAGCCAGGGATTGGCTGCTTCGATTCTCTGCCATAAAGAAGGGAGGTGGGGGGAGGCTTGGTACAGTTGGGGAAGGTAGTATAGATAAGACATCTGTTTTGTGAGAGAAATTGAAACTGCAGTTAATAGACTATGGGCACAGTGTTTGGCCATTAGGGGGCGGATGGGAGTTGGGGCTGATACATACAGGAGATTTGAGCGGGAAAACTTTAGAACTGTCTTTATAGGATTGTGGAAAGAAGGAATAATCCACTTGTGTCCAGCGTTTTATTGTTGTGAGCTTGATTTTACTCCAAGATCTTCCAGAGTCTGACATTAAGACTCTTAAGTAATTACAAAGGGAAAAATGTAGATGACTATAAATTGGTACATTTGTGGCACAGTATATGTGAAAGAAACATTTCTGTCTAGTTACAATATTTGACATTGCTTTTATTCAAGATAGTAAAAAATAAAGTTCTTTTCATTTGAATGTGTTTTTCATGAAAAAACCCAATGGGTTTGAGTTTGAGGATTTAAAAAGGACTTCAAGGATAAAAATGATCATATATACAGTAGTTGTGCTAGGTGGCTGAAATTGTTTTTACTTTTCTTACTTTTTCAGAGTATATAGCACTATATTCATACACAAGTTCTGAACCAGGTGATTTAACATTCGCTGAAGGTGAAGAAATTCTAGTCCTTCAGAAAGATGGAGAATGGTGGACTGGAAGCATTGGTGATAGAACTGGGATCTTTCCTTCAAACTATGTCAAACCAAAGGATCAGGATGTACGTTTTTCCTGCTTTCTTTGTGGGAACAGGGAGGGGAGGTGCAGTATCCCAAAACAGAAATGGGCCTCTTTTCTAGATAGACCTACATGTGACACTAGACTGGAACAGCTTTCCTTTGCTTCAGGTGGTTAGTGCAGTCAGCTCCAATAGGACTGCTAGTCTCACAGAGAGTGGAACAGGATCTATGCAGGGAAACTCTTATCTTCTAAAAAGGGAAACTCTCTGGGGTAGCACTTTGAAAACAGGAACAAAATTTAAAAGGAAATTTGCTTTTCCTTAATATTTATTTATTTATTTATTTATTTATTTATTTACTGTCCTTGTATACCGCCGTTTCTCAGCCTAACTGGCGACTCAACGCGGTTTACAACAGAATATACAGTACACAGTATACAATTAAAACCGTAAAAAACATAATACACAATATTTCACATAAATCACAATCCAATACATCTCCTAACTAAAATCGTGGTCCAATTGCATCATCCATATTACCAATCCGTAGTCGACACATTCATTGCACCGAATTAACCAAATGCCTGCTTGAACATCCAAGGTTTTTAGTCTTCTTCGGAATACCATCAGCGAGGAGGCTGATCTTACCTCCATGGGAAGGGCGTTCCATAGCCGAGGGGCCACCACAGAAAAGGCCCTGTCTCTCGTCCCCGCCAGCCGCACCTGTGAAGCAGGCGGGATAGAGAGCAAGGCCTCCCCAGAAGATCTTAGGGTCCTGGTGGGCTGATAGGCCGAGATACGTTCGGATAGGTAGGTTGGGCCAGAACCGTTTATGGCTTTAAAGGCCAACGCCAGCACTTTGAATTGAGCCCGGTAGCAAATCGGCAGCCAGTGGAGCTGGTGCAGCAGAGGAGTTGTGTGCTCCCTGCGCTCCGCTCCAGTTAGTATCATGGCTGCCGACCGTTGGACTAATTGGAGCTTCCGAGCCGTCTTCAAAGGCAACCCCACGTAGAGAGCGTTGCAGTAGTCTAAACGGGATGTAACCAGAGCGTGGACTACCGTGGCCAAGTCAGACTTCCCAAGGTACTGGCGCAGTTGGCGCACGAGTTTTAACTGTGCGAATGCTCCCCTGGTCACCGCCGAAACCTGGGGTTCCAGGCTCAGCGATGAGTCCAGGATCACACCCAAACTGCGAACCTGCGTTAATAATAATAATAATATTTATTATTTACTTATTTTATTTATTTATTTACTTTGCTTATATACCGCTGTATCTCAAGCCTGAAGGCGACTCACAGCGGTTCACAAACAGTAAAACCAGTAGAAACAGCAGTGGTTCCATACAACATATAACAATTGACTTAACACATTATCCATAAATTACCAATAAGCAATTACAATGCACAATTATTACAAAAAACAACCGTACCCAATCTTCTCATCATCCAAGCGTAGTCCAGGTTCGTCGTCCATTGTTCCATTCCTATGTTCAATTACCAATCATTGCACTAATTACTCGAACGCCTGCTCAAACAGCCAGGTCTTCACTTTTTTGCGGAATACCATTAGAGATGGTGCTAGTCTAATGTCCGTAGGAAGGGCATTCCACAGCCGAGGAGCCACCACCGAGAAGGCCCTATTTATTTATTATTTGGTACACTTGTATACCACTAATATCTCAGCCTGGAACGGCGACTCATTGCGGTTTACAGCAGTTAAAACAATCTACAATTTAAAAACATATACACATACAATAACAAATTATGTATCTCTCGTCCCCGCCAGCCAAGCTTGAGAAGCAGGCGGGATCGAGAGCAGAGTCTCCCCGGAAGATCTCAAACTCCTGGTGGGTTCATAGGCAGAGATGCGGTCAGATAGGTAGCTTGGGCCGGAACCGTTTAGGGCTTTAAAGGCCAACGCCAGCACTTTGAATTCAGCCCGGTAGCAGATCGGTAGCCAGTGGAGTTGGCGCAACAGGGGGGTTGTATGCTCCCTGCGCTCCGCTCCTGTTAAAATCATGGCTGCCGAGCGTTGGACTAGTTGGAGCTTCCGAGCTGTCTTCAAAGGCAACCCCACGTAATAATAATAATAATAATAATAATAATAATAATAATAAACATGGGCATGTGAAAAATGTGGTCAGCAAAGAATATATCCAAAGAGTCAGAAAGGTTTTGAAGGCGAAAATACGATCAAGGCTATCAACACCTGGACTATCCCCATCATTAGATACACTGCTAGAATTGTGAACTGGACACAAGCAGAGCTGCATGATCTGGACAGAAAAACAAGAAAACTGATGACAATCCACTACTCATTACACCCGCGGAATGATGTCAACAGACTTTACCTGCCCAGAAAATCAGGAAGCAGAGGGCTTCTGCAAGTGAAACAAACAATAGAAGAAGAGAAACATGCACTGGCAGATTATGTGAAAGGCAGTCAAGAACCAACATTGAGGAAAGTCAATAACAGTAAATTGCTTAAAGTGGAAAAGACAAAGAGGGAATATCATGAAAACACAATCCGGAGCAGAAGAGAAAACTGGTGAAAGAAGACTCTCTATGGACAGTTCCTGGGAAAAATTGAGAGCCAAATTGACAAAGAAAAAACATGGCTGTGGCTCACAAATGGAACTCTGAAAAAGGAGACGGAGGGCCTGATTCTGGCAGCCCAAGAACAAGCCATTCGAACCAGTGCCATCAAAGCCAGAATTGAAAAGTCAACAACAGATCCAAAATGAAGACTCTGCAAAAAAGCAGATGAAACAATGGATCACATATAATCATAGAATCAAAGAGTTGGAAGAGACCTCATGGGCCATCCAGTCCAACCCCCTGCCAAGAAGCAGGAATATTACATTCAAATCACCCCTGACAGATGGCTATCCAGCCTCTGTTTAAAAGCTTCCAAAGAAGGAGCCTCCACCACACTCCGAGGCAGAGAGTTCCACTGCTGAACGGCTCTTACAGTCAGGAAGTTCTTCCTCATGTTCAGGTGGAATCTCCTCTCTTGTAGTTTGAAGCCATTGTTCTGCGTCCTAGTCTCCAAGGAGGCAAAAAACAAGCTTGCTTCCTCCTCCCTATGGCTTCCCCTCACATATTTATACATGGCTACATCCTCAGCTGCTGAAAGAAGATCGCGCAGACAGACTACAAGCAGAGGCACAACACCGTTGCTCAGATGATTTATTGGAACTTGTGCCATAAATACCATCTGCCTGCGACAAAGAACTGGTGGGATCACAAGCCAGAAAAAGTTACAGAAAATGAACACATCAAACTCTTCTGGGACTTCCGAATTCAGACAGACAGAGTTTTGGAGCATGATACTCCTGACCTCACAATCGTGTTAAAAAACAAAGTGTGGATTGTCGATGTTGCAATAATAGGTGACAGCAGGATTGAAGAGAAATAACTGGAAAAGCTGAAACGATATGAGGATTTAAAGATCGAACTGCAAATACTCTGGCACAAACCAGTAAAGGTGGTCCCAGTGGTGATCGGCACAGTAGGTGCAATGCCTAAAGACCTTGGCCTGCACTTAAACACAATAGGCACTGACAAAATTACCATCTGCCAGCTGCAGAAGGCCACCTTACTGGGATCTGCACGCATTATTCGCCGATACATCACAGTCCTAGACACTTAGGAAGCGTCCTGACATGTGATCCAGTATAACAGCTAGCAGAGTGATCTTGTCTGTTGTGGACTCATCTTGTTCTGTTTTAAATAATAAAAATATTAAAAAACCAACAACAACAATAACATTTTATTTGTATTCTGCCCTATCTCCCCAAGGGGATTCAGAGTGGATGACAGTACACATACACAGCAAACATTCAATGCTGTTTGGACAGACAAGGAGAGAACAGACAGAAAGGAGGCATGTTGTATAGTGTTGACATCAGCGCCTTGGAAGGTTGTGCTCAAAATCCAGTCACAGGGGGTGCTGTTTATCCATCCTCTATGACAAAGAGCCATCAGAACTTCCTCCTTCCTTTTTGGTCACCAGCATTTTCTGGTCTTTTTTTTCTTTATGGTGTCATAAAATATCTCCCCCACTTGTTTTAGCAGTACCTAATTTTTCTATTTACAGCACAAGCTGTTTTTGCAACTGCTTAGGTCAACAGTAAGCTGGGCTTGATAGTTGGCAGCTCATGCCGACCCAGGGCTTCAAACTAGCACCCTTTCGGTTGGTAGATGTTATCATTGCTGGTGATTTTACTAGCTGTGCTAAATCCCGGTCCTTACACCAGATGAGAGTAAAATGCAACCCATACTGTTCCCCATGACTCTTGAACTCCCCAGGCTCTTTTTTCTAGCCAAAAAAGTTGATTTTCCTCCAAGATTGATAATATATCTTTTAAAATAAGTTAGAGTGCATGATTTAAAACTGCTATTCAAAAGCAGAGAGTTGTTTTCTTCATTTTTGTCAGCTTGCGCGGATTCCTACCCTAGATCACTGTGCCAGGAAAGAAGGGTATAATTCACCTAGGAAAATAGGCTCCATTGGAATAGGCTCCAGTGACGCAATTTAGTTAACTTATGCCTCTTCTAGGCAGGCTGCGGAAGGTAATGGTGCTCCATGCAGTCATGCCGGCCACATGACCGACAAAACGTCTACGGACAACAATGGCTCTTTGGCTTAGAAATAGAGATGAACACCACTCCCAGACGCGACTAGACTTAATACCTTATACCTCTTCTGACATTTCTTTTTTGGTTTTTCTTTTCCTTGTTGTAGAGTTCTGCTACTGCTAGCAAAACAGGAACATTAAGTAGAAAACCTGGTGAGTATTGAACATTTCATTGTGTGTATGTATGTATGCTTGTCTTTGGCAACGATGGATTTGTCACTGATAAATGTTTTATTTTAGAAATTGCTCAGGTTACCACAGCCTATACTGCATCAGGAGCAGAGCAACTGAGCCTTGCCCCTGGACAGCTGATACTAATTTTGAAAAAAAACTCTAGTGGATGGTGGCAAGGAGAATTGCAGGTAACAGAGATCGATTCTTACTTACTGGTAACATATTCATAAACATTTTATATCTCCACATAAACAAAATAATATGCCTTTGTGGCTTTCTGTGGTTGTTTACTGGGTAAAAAACAAGACTGTTTTTAAAGGAAGTGTTCGTTGGCATTTTGAAATAAAGTTCAGAAATCGTTAATGTTATGTGGAAAAAACAAACGTTTTAATCCTTTTAGGCCTACCTTTCAATATAGTAGCTTTCTGCAAACCCACCTCACAATCGGGTTTCGTTAACTGCAGATTTGAAGGATTTATATTTACTAGAACATATTCAAGGTGCAATTAACTGTATAGAATGATCTCTATATATGCTACCATTTTGCAGATGTTGATTTTCCGCAACGACATTCGGTATCTTTCGTTGTCCAGTGTCCAATTTCATGATACTGTATCATGAGTTTGCCTTCAAATGAGTTTGTATATTCTTATTAAATATCTAGTCCTCTCAAAGTCACTTGCAGTTTTCAGTTCAGGCTATATCCACAGTTTAATGCCAGTTTGATTTCCATAGCTCTACCCTATTGAATCCCTGGTTTATTAGTTTGGTGAGATACTGAGATGTCTGTAATCCACTACCATGACAGATAGCACTAGAATTCTCTGATGGACAATTCTAAACACCTTACCAAACTACAAATTCAAGGGGAACAGAGCTATGGCCATTGACGTGGAATCAAAGCACTACAATTGTGTTGTGTGGATTATCATCCATTTCACTTATATAATTCAGCATAGTAGTAAGGAACGTAAGTTTATTTTAGTGTTTTAATTAATATTGCTCATTATTTGTATTTTGATTAATGACAGTTTTAAATTCTTTTTGCAGGCTAGAGGGAAAAAAAGACAAAAAGGATGGTTTCCTGCTACTCATGTGAAACTTTTAGGTCCAAGCAGTGAAAAGACTCCTCCTGCTGCTGTCCCAGGTGAGTATCTAAAAGCTTACTTATATTTTCCTTAGATTTAGGGGGAAATATACTGTATGTACTTGAGTATAAGCCGACCCACATATAAACCGAGGCACCTAATTTTACCACCAAAAATTGGGAAAACGTATTGACTCGAGTATAAGTCAAGGGTAGGAAATGCAGCAGCTACTGGTAATACAAAATAAATATAGATACCAATAAAATTACATTAATTGAGGAAACAGTAGGTTAAATGTTTTTCAATGTTTACATAAAATTGTAATTTAAAATAAGACTGACCAACTTTGATTAAACCATTATTCTAACCTTTTTCAGTGTAAATGTGTTTACGTATCCTTCCAATAATAATAAAGAAAGTAAAATAATAAATGTAATGACAACAATAATAAAGTAAAATAATAAATGTAATAATAAAAATAAATAGAGTAAAATAAATGTAATAAAATAATAGAGTAAAATAATGCAAATGTAATAAAGCCAATAATAGAGTAAAATAATAAATGTAATAACAATAATAATAAAGTAAAATAATAAATATAATCATAATAAAAAATAAATAGAGTAAAATAAATGTAGTAAAATAATAATAGACTAAAATAATGCAAATGTAATAATGCCAATAATAGAGTAAAATAATAAATCTAATAAAAATAATAGTAATAACAGAGTAAAATAATAAATAACTTTGACTCGAATATAAGCTGAGGGCAGCTTTTTCAGCCTAAAAAAGGAGCTGAAAAACTAGGCTTATACTCGAGTATATACAGTATACATTATACAAATCTACCTCCATAGCTACTGTTAATAAAGGAAGTAGATCATTTTCAATGGAGAACTTGTAAAAGACCCTTTCCTCTCTCCCTACATATATACAGCGCTCCATTCAGTCTTGCCAGCCACATGATCTTGGAGGTCTTTGTGAATAGCGCTAGCTCTTTAGCTTAGCAATGGAGAGATAAGCACCACCCCCCAGAGTCAGAGACAACTAGACTTAACGTCAAAGAGAAACTTTTACCATATATATATAAACAATAAGCAGGTCTTCGAAAGGCAGTCTCCACCTGGAGCAAGCTAGTCATTCATTACACTGTGTAACACAATTTTTGTTCCTGGGGTATAAATGTCATTTTCTGATTGTTTTTATCATATAAATATGGAAAAGGTATATGAAACTGCAAAAACTTTTTGCGGAACATTCTGCAGCACATTTTGGTATTGTTTCTCAATTAATATCTCATCAAATGTCAACCAATTCTACATAGTTTGTGGCAGACAGAGAAATGAAGTTTCTGCAGTATAACAGCTACTTTCAAATTAAGTATCACACAATTATACAAGAAATAACACTTTCAAACCAGGAGCAGAACATTTTTCATGTTTTGTTACATAATGTTATATGATTCTAACCAGTTACAGCACTGGAATTGGGAAAGCGATAATTAGAAATGGCACCCATTTTTCCTGAAACAGCTCTAGTTGTGAAGCAATGTTTGGCATGTTGGTGCTACTAAATAACGCAATGTAATGTGACAATTTCCTTGTTTTCCAGTATGTCAAGTGATAGCAATGTATGACTACTTGGCAAACAATGAGGATGAGCTCAGCTTCTCCAAGGGACAGCTTATTAATGTCTTAAACAAAGATGATCTGGATTGGTGGCAAGGGGAAATCAATGGCGTTTCCGGCCTCTTTCCTTCCAATTACGTGAAGATGACCACAGACTCTGATCCAAGCCAGCAATGTAAGTGAAACAGCTTTAAGTCAAATATTCATTAATTTTTTTTCTCTTGCACCTTTTGGTTTTGGTACACTAGAATTCCATCGCTTGAATTTACCCTTTGAATATTTGCAGGTGTGTCAATCCATAGATTTTCTCATTTTTTCAACTAAAAAAAGTCAAGGTGGCCACTAGATCACTAAAAATATCTTAACATGTTTCACGTGTTCAGTAAAATGAAACGTATCTGTATTCTAGTTGGACCTTGCAGCTTTCCTTAGATGTTGATAGTATTTCCCAAACTGCAACATGTTTATCACTCTTGAGCAGCACAACCTGGCATAAGGACTTGCAACCTTGTGACATGTTTAACACACTTGAACACTCTAGAACCAGATATATGTGAACATTTTTGAGACAAAAGATTTCTCTTGGCTTTTTTCCATGTCCTTAATTTTCATGACCAAAAGCATACTCCTCTATCCTAATGGTAAGGATTCTTTCCCTTCTGAGAGTTTCCCTGAGTTACAACAGGTCGCAGGCGGAAAGATAAATCACTATTTGTGTTAAAAAATATTGATTAAACAGAGATGTAGCATTAAATCCTGATCTGTAGACATGGTACTTACCCCTTTGAACATTGGTATTTCTTTAAAAAGTAGCACACAAAGCCTAAATACATCTGATGTTTCACAGATTGGCCGCTAACTTCTTACTAGAGCTGTACTGTGTTCTTTCTTTTAGAGAAAAGGAATAATAAGAATCAGTCTTCCTTATATAACTCTTTTTATAATCACTGAGGTGTGGAGGAGATATATTGTGTGATTTAAGTGCTTCTTCATGCTGAATCTCATGCTGCTGCCCTGTGCTCTGTTTTTAGTGTTGAGGCAAAAAACACACAATTGAAAAACAATATGTTTTTTACCACAAGCCCACAGAAATTTTCAAATAATCGAACAATTTTAGATACTTTTCAAAAACAAAAAAAAATCATTCCTTTAATAAAAGCTGTAACTGTAGCAATGACTAATTGGATGTTTAAACAGTAACTTCCACTAATTACTTTCCTAGTGTTCTCTTTCCATTAAATAAACATTGAAATCATTCGAAACAGTCTTCCCACGGGGTTGTTGTGAGTTTTCTGGGCTGTATGGCCATGTTCCAGTAGCATTCTCTCCTGACGTTTCGTCCACACCTATGACAGGCATCCTCAGAGGTTGAGGGGTCTGTTGGAAACTGTCTCCCACATTTCTTCTTTATGGCCTGTGATCAGTTATTGTATGCCAGCCTATATGGCACTGAAAAGCAAATTGCTACTCAGGTAGCAAAGAGCTAGGGAACAATTAGAACTTTTACTATAGACACTTCAGTGTGTCAGGATCCTGAGTGTGCAGGTGCTGCTAGCATATTTGTGATTGGTACATTTTCACTTCCAAGTGGATATTTCCAACAATCTGTACTGGGGGAAAACAACAGGTCTTACAAGAAAATGTGGAAAGTTCAACTTATAATGCAACTACAGCATTGCATTATAACTCTTCAAGTGCAGGGACTTGCCTTCTTCACAAATGAAGTCAGACACTGAGAAAGAGCAGTGCAACCTTGATAACACGCTGAAATGTACCACCGCGCTTCTTCTTTTTTTTTGGCATGCCTATTTGCCAACTCCCAATGGAGAGAATACATGTCATGTTTGATCACAACAACCAATGATGCAAAACTTTAAGTCCTCCTTTTGGAATCGGGGATTTTAGAATTTCTCGCATCAAGATTTCTCAAGAAAACCTGTTAATAAGAAGTTTACTGTCTTACATTTCCTCTTTGTGTCGTTTATTCCTAATTTTCTTTGTCTTTTTTCTTTTTCTTTTCTTTTTTTAAGGATCCAATGTTGTCTTCCTGGGTGAAAGCACCTCAGAGACCCACTACCCAAGTTTGACTATAACATGGAGGCAGGGTGGACAGCCTGTTCAGACCTCTCTGAAAAAAATCATTGGCTTCGCTTCAATATTAAATCCACTCAAGACTTCAAATTTGGTTCTGCGCTGTAAATTTACAGTCAATTTCTGCAAACTGCTTAGTGGGTCTTTGTGTGGCTTTCTGCACTTTCCATTACGGTTTCTTCTATTCCCTTTATTAGGAACAGTGATGAATGATTAGTGTCCTTGTCAAGTTATCTCTTGACATGGTGCAACTGTAGACACACAAAGACCTACTATTGGTACTTTTTACATGGACAGTTCTGTTCTCGTGATGTTGCACCATATGTTTATTTTGCTGATTTATTATATATCTATCTCTCACAATGCACTTCATTTATGATTACAACCACAGTGGCAGTAATTGGGCAGGGGGCGGGGGGCGGGGGGAGAGGTGTGCAGAGATAAAATCAAATCCTATGTGCTTTTTATGCACTTTATGCTGCCACTGTGTCTTCTGGGTTTTAGATTGTAGAAGCTTCTACAGATGTGTATAGTGATGGAATAGATGTGAGCCAAATCTGGTTTTGTGGCAAGCTTTTTGTGGTTCTATTTAAGAGCCTTGGTCAAAGCTGTGTATGGAAAAGTCTGGAAGTCCCCTACATCTTGCTGTCCATCTTTCAGATTGTGACAGTTTGATCCCTTCCTCCTCTAATGCCCTTCCCGTGAGCCCTGACCCTTCAGAAAGAGAGGCCTTCCCTACTCATAGAAAGCAGAGTCTAGGCCACATTGTGCTCCCAACGAAACACTTTGTTCAGCCTCTTGCGTCGCATACAATCCCAGGCACAATGTTTCTTCAGTCACATTTTCATGGGGCTTTATCTTCTACCAAATGTGTATAGGACCACAATTTAATCCTATACACGTTACTGTGGTCCTTGGCACTTACCTGCTAGTATTTGAGATTGTCACCTAAATAAGATGGATGTATGTGTATTTGAATGGATTGCTTTATCTAATGGATTGTGCAATACAGAATGATTATGTGCCTACATTACTGTGATCATTTCTCAAAAAATAATATATGACCAGTATTAGTGAATAGCTCAACCTTCACCTGACAGTACCCCCCCCCCCCCCCCCCCCCCCCACTTCTTTTCTTTTTCTTCTTTTTGCACATAATAGGACTTTTAGCTGATGCCAGGATGCTACATCAGTACAAAAACTAGTCTGCTAGTCTGTTGTCATTGACTGCCATTGAGATGTACCATCTTAACAAAAAAATTGACAATCCAATGTTTGGGACAGTAATGTGAAAACAGAACATTACATGAGTGAGTTGCACATTATTCAAAACTGAAATTAGCCCATTACTAGAGTTTTGGTATTTATTATTATTTTATTTCATATATTTATATTCCGCCCTTCTCCCCACAAGGGGGACTCAGTGCGGCCTCACATGAGCATCAGAGGATGCTAACAACATAAATACCATAAATACCATAAAAACTACAACTCACAATCATTTTAAAACATTGTATGTACATCATCAATAACCAGAAAAACTTTACCTAATTTGTTTTTGTTTATTTTGTTTATTGGATTTGTCGCAACATATTTCCATTATAACTCAATTTAAAAAAATAATATCATTGCATCCTTTATTCAGTGATCCTTTTAGTGCATTCTTCTCTGAAAAATATTGGATGGAAAACAAAATTTTAAAAATTTCCTCTGAAAAGTTAATATATGCACAAAGTAGCAAATCACATTGTTTGCATTAAACAAGGGCTCCAATGTGGTGAGCAAAGTAAGTTTTAGATGTGACATGTAAACCAGTCAATCTTTATGAAATCCCGTAATAATCGATGAACTATAAAACTCATATAGTTAGAATGTACTGGAAATAAGAATGATATTAACAAAATATCCTTACCTTTTGTTAATATCGTGGCATCAGTATTGCTTTGCCATTAAAAAAAAACACCATCTGGGCCCACACCTTTTATTTTTATGTTTTACAATATTGCACAAATAAAATCTGAAATAGTGAGTTGTTGTGAGTTTTCCAGGATATATGGCCATGTTCCAGAAGCATTCTCTCCTGATGTACCACCCATATCTATGGCAGGCACCCTCAGAGTTTGTGAGGTCTGTTGGAGACTAGGCAAATGGGGTTTATATATCTGTGTAATGTCCAGGGTGGGAGAAAGAACTCTTGTCTGCTGGAGGCAAGTATTAATGTTGCATTTGGCCACTTTGATTAGCATTTAATGGCCTTGCAGATTGAAGGCCTGGCTGGTTGCTGCCTGGGGGATGCTTTGTTGGGAGGTATTAGCTAGCCCTGACTGATTCTTGTCTGGAATTCCCTTGTTTTTTGAGTGTTGCTCAGGACCAGCTTTTTTGGTTGTGTCAGGAGCAACTTGAGAAACTGCAAGTTGCTTCTGGCGTGAGAGAATTGTCCGTCTGCAAGGACGTTGCCCAGGGGACGCCTAGATGATTTGATGTTTTTATCATCCTTGTGGGAGGCTTCTCTCATGTCCCTGCATGAGGAGCAGGAGCTGATAGAGGGAGCTCATCCGCCTCTCCCCGGATTCGAACCTGCTACCTGTCGGTCTTCAGTCCTGTCGGCACAGGGGTTTAACCCACTGCACCACCGGGGGCTCCAGGACCATCTAACACCTCCCAACAAAGGATCCCCCAGGCAGCGACCAGCCAAACATTTTTAGATGATACACTGATGTTGAAATGCCATGCTTATTGAATTTCAAGACAAAATTATAAAAAAAGTTCTGTCTCAACTTAGAGAATATGTTTGTATCATAAGGCAAGTTCCAAAAAAGTGTGCACACAACTAAACCAGCTCCCTGTGGGATATTCCTTCCTCCCCCGCCAAGCCCCAAATCAGAGCATCCCAACAATTGCCCCTATGTATGGCACACATCCCAAGCAGTTCTTCAAGCCCCGAAAATTGTTTCCTATTTGGCATGAATGTCTGCTTGTCCAAAACAAGAAGCCAAAAGTATATGATCCTAAGACTTCAGGTGTGCATATGTTGCCTCTCTGAATTGTGGTTTTTAGCTTTAAATACGAATGGCTTTGCTCTTGCAGCTTTTTGTGTGTGGTTAAGACTCATTTTCATGCAACTACAGAGAATTACAGTATATAATCGAGGCAATGTAACACAATCATTTGGGGGGAGAAATTGCTCCCCATTGCAGAAATAGGATTATTTTTCTAGAATGATAGTCATGAGACTCTCACAAGAGTAGGGGAAAATTAGGCATTCAGTTCTTTAGGTGAACCTAGAAATTAACATCTAATGAGATTAAGCATTCTAAGGAACACATAAGCTTGCTTGGGACTGTGTGATATTTAAGTCATGAAAACAGCAAAAAGAAAATACTAAACTATTTTCTTTACAAGTAGAAATGTAACAATTAAATTTTGTTGATTTTTATTAAAAAATATATAGTGAATCACACCAACAAATTGTGATTTGCTGATTGCTTTATTATATCACAGTATTCGCCAAACAGTATCTTGTGGCTTATATTACTTTTCTATCCAGTTCAGCTGTGAGCTGCTTTTGATCCATCTGTTACATGAATGCTGACAGACCTCTCGTTGTAGTGGGTGATTTGGGCTGCTACAGCATAATGCTGCTTTAATGTAATTGAAATTTAACTCTTCACATATCATAGTGTTGAATGTTGCCTTAATCTTCATTTTGTTTTAGGGCTTTCTCTTATTAAACGTTTGGAAATAATCATCAGTGTTTCGTCATGCAAACACAGCAAATGCTGCGCATGAGGTCATTGTTGTTTTTTAAAAAAACTGGAAATAACTATGCAAACGTATTTTATTAAAAGGTCACACAGAAGAATATATGTGTGTGTGATTTCTTTTCCATCATGATTAGCCTAATTGGGTTTATCTCTGGGAGTAATTTCATACATTTTCTAGGAAGAGATTCAAACAAAGCCCAAAGCTCTTCAGGACAGTTTGAGAACTTCTCGGGAGGAGAGATTATTTATTTACTTATTTATTTACTTACAGTGTTTATATTTCGCCCTTCTCACCCCGAAGGGAACTCAGGGCACGTCACAGAACACATATATGGCAAACATTCGATGCTGATTTTACAGGGTGCAGCAGCATAACTTTCTTACTTCAAAACTTAATAAAACCCATTTTATGAATCAGATTTTTTTTTATAATGTAGGCGCATACCTAAAGTTTTGTTTTACGTAGTTTTGAAGATCAAATTAGGTAGGTGACGTCCCCCATTCTCCATACACTGAGTAAACCGATTTCTGGCATTTGTCATGACTCTTGCCAGCATAGCAGGCGTTATGTTGGCAATTTCTTCCTGGATGTTGGTCTTCAAATCTTGTAGGGTCCTTGGACGGTTCACATAAACACAGGATTTCAAAAAACCCCATAGAAAAAAATCACAAGGGGCCAAATCTGGAGAGCGGGCCGGCCACTCCAAATCCCCCCTAATTGAGATGAGGCGCTCTGGGAAGTGTTCCCTCAAAACAGCCATCGATGCTCTTGAAGTGTGTGCAGTTGCACCGTCTTGTTGGAACCAAATGTCCCCTAAGTCCAACCCATCTAGCCGTGGGAAAAAAATCCTGTAACATGTTTACATACCGGTCCGAATTCACTGTCACTGCGACTTCATTTTCCTCAAAGAACCAGGGACCAATAATTCCAGCTGAGGAAATTGCACACCACACTGTGATTTTAGGTGAATGCAAAGGCCTTTGATGCAATTCTCGAGGATTGTTGTCAGCCCAGTAGCGCATGTTTTGTTTGTTGACGGATCCACACAAATGAAAATGGGCTTCATCACTAAAAAAACAATAGCATCCTCAGGAACGACTTTGAGAAGAACCTTGAAGTTCCTCCGAGAATTGAAGTCACGTTCAGAAAGTTCCTGCACAATCGTCATCTTGTAAGGATGGAAATGAAGATCATCATGAAGAATTCTCCTCACAAAATGATTGGAAAGTCCAAGGGCAGACGCATGTTTGTGCGAAGAACGCCGTGGTGATCGGGAGTTCAAATCTGCGGGGTGGGATGAGCTCCTGTTGTTAGCTCCAGCTTCTGCCAACTTAGCAGTTCAAAAAATGCTAATGTGAGTAGATCAATAGGTACTGCTTTGGCAGGAAGGTAATGGTGCTCCATGCAGTCATGCTAGCCACATGACCTAGGAGGTGTCAATGAACAAAGCCGGCTCTTTGACTTAGAAATGGAGGATAAGCACCACCCCCAGAGTCGGACTTGACTAGACTTAATGTCAAGGAAAACCTTTACTTTTACTATACTACTGATACATAATATAATCCCTGTTTATGCAGAACTGCTATACGTGGTTTCGCTTCCCTGTGATTTCACTTATTCGCTCAGGGCCTCCTATATAAACTACATCCCCTTCTTGATAACTCTGTTGTTTGTCCCATTGAAAAATAGTAAGGTTTGTTTCATGTACCCATGCAAAGTTCAGGAACATATCCCCCATGACTATGGAGGTTTACTATTCTAAAAATATTAATTTCAAATGGTATAGCCTAGAACTCTGTCCTGGATCCTATATTACACATGACTTACATAAAAGCCAACTAAACTCATACAACTTCCACAGTGTTTGCACAAAGAGGAGTCAGAAATGACAGGAGGAGGGGACTGCCAGTTCTCAGTCATCCTTGAAAGCTGGACATTTGAGAAGTTGGCAGCTATGGCCTTTCTACACTGTCATATAATGCAGTTTGATGCAGTGAAACTGAATTATATGAGTATAAACTGACCATATAATGTAGTGTAGATAGAGCCTATAAGCCAGCACCGCTATGTTTTCTCTCCTGTTACCAAGACACCTGCCTTTCCCCCTTCTTTCTGATCTTTTCCTCCTCTGTCACCCAGAGGAAAGCAGAAAATAACAGTTTCAAACATATTGCTATTTTATTTAATACGCCTCCAGCTGTATTAAATAAAATAGCAATTTTAAGCTCTTTTTGGCAGGTGAAAATAAGAATGGGCAAACCTCTCTGGAGGTGGTATTCCACAGCCATGATGCCACCACTAAAAAGGCCACTTGTCTTATAGGTGCCTCAGTGAAAGACTGCTCTTTAAATGGGAAAACAAGTCAATCTTTTGTTGGACTGATAATGTTTGTTTGTTTATTTATTTATTTATTTGCCGCAGGCAACTCAAGGAGGTTCACAAGGCAATAATTCAATGCCAGAAACATTTAAAACATTTAAAAACATTAACATATCAATTAAAACCATAACAATAGTAAAAAAAAACATCATTTCGTCTCCTAGATAAAAATATAATCCGATCTCATAGTCCAATTGTTCCATAATCCTATGTCTGTTACACTACCTTTTCAAACACCTGCTTGAAGAGCCAGGTTTTGACTTTTGTTTGGGAAAAAAAATCTAATGATCTAATGTCCCTGGGAAGGGTGTTTCATAGGCGAGGGGCCACCACTGATAAGGCCCTGTCTCTCATCTCTGTCAAACATATTTGTGACACAGACAGAGTTGAGAGCAGGGCCTCCCCAGACGATCTTAACGTATAGATGGTTCATAAGGGGAATTGCGTTCGGACAGGTAAGTTGGGCCAGAACCATTTAGGGCTTTATAGGCTAACGCCAGCACTTTGAATTGTGCCCGGTAGCAAACTGGCAGCCAGTGGAGTTGGTGCAACAGAGGAGCACCGCTCCCGTTAGCAATCTGGCTGCCACGCATTGGACCATTTGAAGCTTCCGAACAGTCTTCAAAGGCAAACTCACGTAGAGCGCGTTGCAGTAGTCAGTTGTCAGTTTATTAAACTAGCATCCTATACTAACATGATATAAAGAAGATTTTAATAAACACTTCCCATAAAGTTCTTGTATCATAGCATTGTACTTGTCACACCCACCTTTTCTACATTACTGGTTGCCCTTCCTATGTGCTTCATGAAGTTTGTACTCTGTTGCAAATATGAACAAAGACAATACAAATCAGTGTCTTTCCCAGTATTCATCAAAAGATATGAGATCTTTTTTAGCCTATATTTTTAGCATTAAGCCAGCAACTGGGTGACATGTTTTGTTTGTGCTGTTTTGTAGGGTGTGCTGATCTCCAAAGCCTCGATACGATGCAACCCATGGAAAGGAAAAGGCAGGGTTACATACATGAATTGATCCAAACAGAGGAGAAATACATGGATGACCTTCAACTTGTTGTCGAGGTGAGATTTTATAAAATATGACCTGTCATCCCTTTTTGAGTATTGAGATCTTTTATTCTGAGATAATCTATGCAAGGCAAACTGCATAGGAACAAAATCTTTTACAAAAATGCATCGATTTTAGAATATTTTTTAGTCCTAAGACTTACCAAATGTCTTAAGCAAAGGACAAATTAGGTCACCAGTCACTGATTTTTAAAAACATACAATTGTTAAAGTAACTTTGTAGGAATTCTCATTTGCTGCCACACAGAAAGTAACAAGATGTGGCCAAACAAAAGATACATTTTCGGTTCTGACAATATTTGTGACAAGGAAAAAAATCTTTATAGTATTGACCCCCCTGAGCTACTTTTTTGTTTTTTAAGATCTCCTTCACGTTCTTGTTTGATCTTTCCCAGGCGTTTAAGGTATGTAGAATATTGTTGTTCATTCGTTCAGTCGTTTTTTACTCTTTGTGACCTCATGGACCAGTCCACGCCGTCACCACCCCCAGCTCCTTCAAGGTTAATCCAGTCACTTCAAGGATTCCATCCATCCATCTTGCCCTTGGTCGGCCCCTCTTTTCTTTTCCTTCCATTTTCTCCAGCATAATTGTCTTCTCTAAGCTTTCCTCTCTTCTCATGATGTGGCCAAAGTACTTCATCTTTGGCCTCTACTATCTTTCCCTCCAATGAGCAGTCAGGCTTTATTTCTTGAAGTATGGATTGGTTGGATCTTCTCGTATATATATATGTAGAATATATTAATGGATACCAAAATGGATGGGAAGGATGCATCATCCAAGAGTGTGTTGAATTGTCTGTGATGCCCTGACTCCCTTCATAAACAACTTGGCTTCTGCGTTTTCCTCTTTGATTCCAAACTAGGTTTTTATGGTAGATCATCCTGTCACTTTTCACAGTCTCAGTTAGGTCTGTGTGGTCTGGTGGCATCAAAATAGCCTATTTATGCTGCATTATATTCCAGTCCCCCTCTGCTCTCTATCCTGTCTCTGCAAATGCTCTTCAAGCCAGGATCCCAGAGGCAACACACAAGAAAAGTACCACTAGGACAGTGGTTCTCAACCTGGGGTCCCCAGATGTTTTTGGCCTACAACTCCCAGAAATCCCAGCCAGTTTACCAGCTGTTAGGATTTGTGGGAGTTGAAGGCCAAAAACCTCTGGGCACCCCAGGTTGAGAACACTGTACTAGGACAACATGAGTTGCCAGGACCTTCAGCTCTCCAGTGCTCTCTGTAGAGGTGACAAATCACTTGACAACTGAGACTTCCCAGTCTGCTTTGACCCTATACTTTCATCTTTCCTTCTGGCTTTGTCCCAGATTCTGCTTGGGACAAGCAGAATTGGGACATGAGAGAAGCCTCTTCGCAGGATTGCAAGACATCTGGGCGTCCCCTGGGCAATGTCTTCGTAGATGGCTGATTCTCTCACCTCAAAAGCAACCAGAAGCGACTTGCAGCATGCAACCAAGCAAGCAAAACAACCAACAGACCTTTTCAGGATCAACCGTGACAATAATCTCAATCAACATTGAAGGCATGTCAGCTGCCAAAGAACAACTGCTCTATGAATTGTGCCAAGATAAATGTGATGTGGCTGTGTGTCCAAGAAATACACAAGGACAAACAACAGAAACGACCAAAAGTTCCAGGAATGATCTTAGTAGCGGAAAAACCACATGCGTAGTATGGAAATGCTGTCTTTGTAAAACCAGGCCTCCAAGTCAGCAGTGCCCACAACACTGAAGAAAACAATATAGAGGTTATAACAGCAGAGCTTAATAACATCACCATCACCTCTGTGTACAAGCCCCCAAATGAAGAGTTTTGTTTCTCCTCCCCCGAGAACTTTGATAGGCACCAAAGGGCGGTAGTAATTGGTGACTTCAACAGCCATAGCCACGTATGGGGCTATGCTCAACAGGATAAAAATGGAGAGGCTGTCCTCTCCTGGTCTGAATTGCAAAAACTATCACTCATTCATGATAGTAAGCTCCCACTATCCTACAACAGCGGGAGATGGCACCGAGGATATAACCCAGACCTCTTATTTGTGAGTGACAGCATTGTACAGCAATGCACTAAATCAGTGGGACCACCAATCCCAAACACACAGCACCGACCAATAGTATGCCAACTGTTCCCAACAATAAGGCCTCAGGAAGTTCGATTTAAATGAAGATTCAACTTCAGAAAAGCAGATTGGACTAAATTCTCAGACATGTTAGATGACATGATCATATCGGTCGCGCCAATCCCTGAGAAATAACGAGCATTTTATTGAAATCGTGAAAACCTGCTCCATACCGAGAGGCTGCAGAACCAACTACCTTCAGGGCATTACTCCTGAAACAGCTGCCTTGTTGGAAAACTATTACAGGCTTCACAACGAAGACCGATTTAGTGAGCAGACTCTTCAGGCAGCGCAGAGCATTGTGTCCTCCATCTCTGAAGCCAAGAAAGAACAGTGGATCAAGCTGATCACAGAGGTCGACATGGGCAGGAGCAGCCAGAAGGCCTGGAGGCTGCTGAGACGGCTGAGCAATGACCCCTCACAAACCAATACCCATGCCAACATAAAGGCAGATCAGATAACACACCAACACTTGAAGAATGGGAAACCCAACCTTGCCACCAAAGTAGGAAAGAAACCAATAGCCAGACAACCAGAGATTGAGAACAACAACCTTCATGAACCTTTTACATCTACTGAATTGGATGTATGCCAACTGGATTCAGTAAGGATCTGTCTGACAATGTGTCCCTGTTCACTCGGAACTAATCTGTTTCTTCACAGGTGTCCCAGCCTGGTCTGGGTATTAGTTCCTTGGCACAAAATAGTGAAGTCGTTCTGGAACTTTTTCTCAAGGAATCTCAACAACGCTCTCTGTTTGTACCAACCCCTCCTGGGTTCATTATATATGTACTATAAATATCTGATGGTTGCAATCATGTTTCCTCTCAATGTTTCTGCTCTGCGTTTATCATACCTAGATGCTCAAAATCTTCCTCACATGATGTCTCCAGCTCTCATCTTCATCTACAGCATTGGGTCTCAACCTGTGGGTCCCCAGATGTTTTGGCCTACAACTCCCAGAAATCCCGGCCAGTTTACCACCTGTTCGGATTTCTGGTTGTTGAAGGCCAAAACATCTGCAGACCCACAGGTTGAGAATCACTGCCCTAGATGCTTTCTAACTCATCAAAAATATCATGTAAATGTCAGTGCTGTGGGTGAGATAATGATACAATTGCTGCACATCTGAACATGGTTATTTTGCTGCTGCAGGCAGTGTGAGAGAAAGAGAGACTAGTGGAGGGAGCAATTGGTTTTTCATGATGTATTCATGAAAAAATCTATGTATGCCTAGTTGAGCATCATTTCCATTATGGGAGAAAACTGGGTTACGAGTTGAGAGATTTCACTTTTGTCCATCTCCTGCTAACGTTCCATCTCTTCTATGTCTTTCTGCTTTGTAGGTTTTTCAGAAACAAATGACTGAATCAGGCTGTCTCTCAGAAGCTGAAATGGGGTTAATCTTTGTCAACTGGAAGGAGCTCATCATGTCAAATACAAAACTGCTGAAGTAAGTGCTGCCGTTGTTGCATTACATTTTGTCCCATTAGCTCTCTCAATCCAAAAAAGGTTGCACTCCCTGTGAAAGATCAGAAATAGAATCTGGGAACCTGGACTGACCTGATCTTTTGATATCTCTGGATTCCTGCATGGCAGTGGAGATGACAAGCACCTCTGCATCAGCTGTTACTTTTCCTAAATCAGCCCAACTTGGAAAAATGTTCTTTATGTGGGACTACATTAGAGATTTCCAGGGCCATTCTTGAATAACATCGAGAAATTATAGCTTCTATGAAATGCAGCTGTTATAATGATTTCTTTATTAATTTATCGTGTCAGAAGCAAATTTAAAAACACAAAGAAAGTTAAAAACTTGGCATTATTCTAAATGTCCTTTGACTAGGAGCTGGCCACTTGGAGTGCCTCTAGTGTTGCTATAAGAAGGTCCTCCATTGTGCGTGTGGCAGGGCTCAGACTGCATTGCAGTAGGTGGTCTGTGGTTTGATCTTCTCCGCACTCACATGTTGTAGACTCCACTTTGTAGCCCCATTTCTTAAGATTGGCTCTTCAGCTCATGGTCTCAAAGCACAGTCTGTTCAGTGTCTTCCAAGTCACCCATTCCTCTGTTCCCTGGGGAGAGTTTCTCATCCGGTGTCAGCCATGGATTGAGGTTCCAGGTTTTTGCCTGCCACTTTTGGACTCTTGCTTGCTGAGGTATACCTGCAAGTATCTCTGTAGATCTGAGGAAGCTGTCTGAGACCTCACAACCTCTGAGGATGCTTGCCATAGATGCAGGCGAAATGTCAGGAGAGAATGCCTCTAGAACATGGCCATATAGCCCAAAAAAACCTACAACAACCCAGTGATTCTGGCCATGAAAGCCTTTGACATTACATTATTTCTTTACTGATTCTTTTGATAGCCCTTGAATCGAGCCACTACGCCTGTATTTGTTTTATTTTACTTGTAGAGCCCTTCGAGTTCGTAAGAAGACAGGAGGTGAAAAGATGCCTGTGCAGATGATTGGGGACATCCTGGCTGCTGAACTGTCCCACATGCAAGCCTATGTTCGCTTCTGCAGCTGCCAACTTAACGGGGCCACCCTGTTGCAGCAAAAGACAGACGAAGAACCAGAATTCAAAGAGTACATGAAAGTATGCTTTTCTGTCACTTCTTAAACCTGACCTGTTTCCTTTCTCTTAAAGGGGTGGGTGCAGATATCTCTGTTTTGATTTTGTTTTGTTTCCATATCAGGAGCGACTTGAGAAACTGCAAGTCGCTTCTTGTGTGAGAGAATTGGCAGTCTGCAAGGACATTGCCTAGGGGACACCCGAATGTTTTACCATCCTGTGGGAGGCTTCTCTCAAGTCCCTGTATGAGAAGCTGGAGCTGACAGACAGGAGCTCACCCCTCTCCCCAGATTTGAACCACTGACCTTTCAGTCAGCAGTCCTGCTGGCTCCAATATCTCTGATAATCACCGTTATTAAATTGGAAACCAAGACTTGGGAATATGTGCTCCCATATATTAAAGATGTGCTTGCAATTTTTATTACTGTGTTTTAATTGTTGCAAATTAATTTTGTTTGATGTGTCATTTGTAATGGTTTTTGTATTGTACTTTTATTTCTTGATATTTTATTGTTTTGTTCTGTATATATTGATGTATTATATTGCTTGGCTTGCTGTGGCCAACCTTCCCTCCTTCTTTCTCTCCTTTCTTTCTCTCAATCCTTCCCTCTTTCTTTCCTTCCTTCCCTTTTTTTCTCTCCTTCTCGCCTTCCTTTCTTCCTTCTCTACATCTTTCCTTCTTTCTCCTCCCTTTTTCTTTCTCTCCTTTCTTCCTTCTCTACCTATTCTTGGATTGTAACTCCCAGCAGTCCTCCTGATTGATCTGTCTACGTACTATCTATCTCTATCTAATCTATATATCTTATCTATCTGGAGAACTGCTGGGAGTTGCAGTCCAGGAATAGGAAATAGGAAATATGTATGGATTGGGATGTCGTTTTTGTGTATGCTCTGTATCGTCATTTATCTTTTTTGGGTTTTTAAGTCCTTTCTGCTGTTTTTTGGGAGAGGTTTAGAAGTGATAGTCACTTGTTGGTCTGTTAGTCACTTGTTAGTCTGTTAGTGTCCAAATTTCGTGTCAGTTCACCCAGTGGTTTTTGAGTTATGTTAATCCCATGAACAAACATTACATTTATATAGTAGCTGTCCCCTACCACGCGTTGCTGTGACCCACATGGGGGTTCTGTGTCGGAGGTTTGGCCCAATTCTATCGTTACTGGGGTTCAGAATGCTCTGTGATTGTAGGTGAACTATAAATCCCAGCAACTGCTACTCCCAAATGTCAAAATTCTATTTTCCTTGAACTCCACCAGTGTTCACATTTGGGCATATTGAGTATTCGTGTAGAGTTTGGTCCAGATCCATCATTGTTTGAGTCCACAGTACTCTCTGGATGTAGGTGAACTACAACTCCAAAACCAAAGGACACTGCCCACAAAACCCTTCCAGTATTTTTGTTGGTCATGGGAGAACTGTGTGCCAAGTTTGGTTCAAGTCCATTGTTGGTGGGGTTCAGAATGCTCTTTGATTGTAGGTGAACTATAAATCCCAGCAACTACAACTCCCAAATGACAAAATCAATTTTTTTGAGTGAAGGACATACATTGGGTTGTTAGGTGTCTTGTGTCCAAATTTGGTGTCAATTCGTCCAGTGGTTTTTGAGTTCTGTTAATCCCACAAACTAACATTACATTTTTATTTATATAGATTAGTCATCCCATGCCATGCGTTGCTGTGGCCTAGTCTGTGTATATGTGTTTTTGTGTGTATATGTGTGTGTGTGTATATTTTTGTGTATCTGTGTGTTTTGTATATATGTGTGTGTATGTATGTATATGTGTGTGTGTGTGGTTTTGTGCATGTGTTGTATTTTTTTGTTTTTTGGCTTTTGAAGTCTCTGTGTTTTTCAGTGTTTTTATGAGTGATGGTCAATTATTGGCCTGAGAGGTGTCTTGTGTCCAAATGTGGTGTCAATTCGTCCAGTGGTTTTTGAGTTATGTCAATCCCACAAACAAACATTACATTTTTATTTATATAGATTATTATTAGTATTACTTCCCTAGCATTTGAATGGTTTTTAAGGAGTCATGTTGGGAAGGAGCTCCTTGTGAGGAATTTCTTTGGTCTGTATTCCAACGGTATGTGTGTGTATATTAGTCCAAATCCAGGACGTTCTGGATCTAATGGAGTCTCGCTTGACATCTTTAAAAGTGTTTGTTTCATCTATCTAATAATGTACCCTTCTCTCTCAAGTGTCATGTTCCCCATTGATATGACAGGCATCCAATATCCATTCCTTTGTGATAGACTTTAGAGGTCTTTGAACACTAAAAGAATTCGACATCAGTACAAATAATGCCACCGTGTCATTTTAAAATCCTGCTTTAACTTGCAGAAACTGGCATCCGATCCTCGTTGCAAAGGAATGCCACTCTCCAGCTTCTTGTTGAAACCTATGCAGAGAATTACTCGGTATCCACTTCTCATTAAGAGTGTGAGTATCCTGTTGCTTGCTCTTTAAAATGCTAACTGAAATAAGAAACTAAGGCGCGCCGAGAACTGTAATTATACTTAAGAAAAAATTAAAGAGTGGATTTTCCTTAGAATTATACTATACTTATATACAACCTTCATTTGTTCCTTTTTCCAAACAAGATTCTGGAAAATTCATCTGAAACGCATCCAGATCACAATAACCTGAAGCTAGCCCTTGACTGCGCTGAAGAACTGTGCTCTCAGGTTAATGAAGGAGTGCGTGAAAAGGAAAATTCAGACCGACTCGAGTGGCTGCAGTCCCATGTGCAATGTGAAGGCCTCGTGGAGGTAAAGTGTGGCTTGCATGGAGTGCTGAGGACAGGATGAGACCCTCTTTCTCTATGCCTTCATTGCTTTGTTTTAAAAGCACTAGATGACACCAACACAATCTGTATATTTTTCCCCAGAGCATTCAGTTGGTAATTTTAATATGAGAAACATAACTGATTATAAGGAATAGCTGACATCTCACAATTTGTTCTAGGGTCACATAGGTATACTGTTTAAATTTGTGTGCCGTATCAGCCCAAAGTGTGCCCACAAATCATATTTAAACTGAGAAAGATTTAGTAATTGTTTTAAGGGGTTGCTTACAATCTGCTGCATGTTTTAACTTCTCTCTCAGGCTCCTTCTACACTGCCATATAATCCATATTATCAGTGCAGATAACCCACATTCTTGGCTTTGAACTACATTATATCAGAGCTCTTCCACACAGCCCTATATCCCAGAATAGCAAGACAGAATATCCCACATTATCTGAGTGTGGACTCAGATAACCCAGTTCAAAGCAGATTTTGTGGGATTTTCTGCCTTGATATTCTTGGATATAGGGCTGTGTGGAAAGACCCTTAGTCTACACTGCCATGTAATCCAGTTCAAAACAGACAATCTGGATTGTACTTGGCAGTGTAAATCCAGTCCCAGACAAACAAAAGTCAGAGGCTCTTCTCCTGCTTCAAAGTAGCCGGAAAGGGAACGTGTTGACATCCTACCTCAACTGAATTTTAATTGTTTTAATGATTATTTATGATAATTATTTGATGCACCGGTTTATTTTAATCCACTGTGTAACATATTGTACTGTTTTTCTGTTTAAATTTTTGCTTTTGTTTATATAGACATTGAATGTTTGCCTGTTATCATGTTGGAAGCCTCCCTGAGTTCCCTTGGGGAGATAGGGCAGGTTACAAATATATTATTATTATTATTATTATTATTATTATTATTATTATTATTATTATTATTAGCCAGCTGTGAAGCTCAAAGTCTGCCAATAGTGCAAACAACATCTGGAAGGTTTAACATTTTGAAATCAGTAGGAATCTAATTAAAAGAGCTGAATTTTTATAAAGCAATAGAACGGAGAAGTGAAAGGAGGAGTGTTGCCCTACTCACGTGCCTTAGGATCAAAGCCAATAGTTAAATCTGACTAAAAGCTTTAGCCATAGTGAATTAAACTTATTTAAAAGTTGGCTTTTCAATTTCTTGATAATGTGATGCGTTTACTCTAGTTGGGACTAACAATTGCATTTGGGCCTAACTTTGTTTTTGAGAATGGTTTGCAATGGCAAGGTGACACCAGTGTGCTGGTTTTCTCTCCCATTTAGCATCTGGTTTTCAACTCCCTGACCAACTGCTTGGGGCCACGGAAACTGTTGTACAGTGGCAAACTGTACAAGACAAAGAGCAACAAGGAACTCTATGGCTTCCTCTTCAACGACTTCCTGCTACTCACCTATATGGTCAAGCTATTTGTCTCTACTGGATCAGACAAACTTTTCAGCCCAAAATCCAATTCGCAATTCAAAATGTATAAAGGGGTGAGTGAAGTAAACAGTCAAATAAGACTGCCAAGTAATAGACAGCCATTAATCTTTGCTGGGGAAAATGGAAGGAAAAAGGAAGAGGGGCTGACCAAGGGCAAGATGGGTGGATGGCATCCTTGAAGTGACTGGATTGACCTTTAAGGAGCTGGGGGTGGTGGCGGCCGACAGGGAGTTCTGGCGTGGGCTGGTCCATGAGGTCACAAAGAGTCGGAAACAACTGAATGAATGAACAACAAAAATCTTTGACAACTAATGTTTAAACATGACTACTAGTAGTAGTATGTTTTATTGATTAGCCCATCAGCCGTATCAAAACACTTTGACAACTATTTGATGAGTAATTTTTGGATTTGATGAGTAATTTTTGGATTTCATTCCCTCTTATTTTTTAAGTTTTGCTTAGCGAATCACCTTAAATCATGAAAGTTGTATTGTCTCTGTTGCTTCCTTCACTCTTGCCCCATTCTTGAGAAACAGTTCATGTAATCATCACTGTGGCTCCATTTATTCAAATACTTCTTTGTTTCTTCTAGCCTGTTTTTCTAAATGAAGTCTTGGTAAAACTGCCAACTGACCCTTCTAGTGATGAACCAGTTTTCCACATCTCCCACATAGATAGAGTATACACGCTCAAAACAGACAGCATCAATGAGAGGTGAGCCCAAACATTGTTTGTCGAAAAGATGTTTGGGGAGCTTGGGGTGACGACTTAGAAAAACAGGTGTCTGAGGAACATGGGTTGAAGCCCAGAAGATTCCTATGCAAACTGGCCATAGGAGTGGCCAGCAGAACTCCACATTGTGTCATGATGAGTTTATATTAAATGACAAAATGGTATTTTCCCATAGATTCCTAATTATTATAGAACTGGGTTTTATTATAGCTGGGATTCTCAGGGCAGCGTGCCCACAGAGGTCTCCCGTAGTAGCCACCAAGCTGCTAGCTTCTCCAGTATTTAAAAATGTGACAAATTGAAATAACCTTATAATCCAGATGAAGGCATGGCACATAGTGGTGTCCAGTGCCGTCTAAAATGAGTAAGACGATAAACTGGGTGGGAGTGCATGTTGTTAGGCTAGAGCACTGCTTCTTAAACTGTGGGTCCCTAACAGTAAATCAAGAGTACAACTATTATGCGAGGAATCTTTAAATATTGAAAACGGAACAAGTAAAGGAAAGGAAGAGTGAATAAAAAGAAAATATGCAACTGAGAAAAAATAGGGGTGCGACTATTATGAGATGAAATACAGTATATTACAGTGGGGTTTGGTTCCAGGACTCCCTGTGGAAACCAAAATCCATGGATGCTCAAGTTCTGTTACATATCATTGCGTAGTAAAATGATGTATCTTATTATTTAAAACTAGCTGTACCTGCCACGCTTGCTGTGGTCAACCTCCCCTCTTTCTCTCCTTTTTCCCCTCTTTCCTTCATTCCCTCTTTCCTTCCTTCCCATCTTTCCCGTCTTTCCTTCTCTTCTTCCTTCCTTCTCTATCTCTTTCCTTCCTTCCCCTTTTTTCTTTCTCTTCCACTGTCTCTCTTTCCTTTTTCTCTTTCCTTCTTTCCTTCCCTCCCGCTTTCTCTACATCTTCCCCCTTCCTTCGCTCCCTCTTTCCTTCCTTCTTTCCCTTTTTTCTTTCCTCTCGCCTTCCTTCCTTCCTTCCTTCCTTCCTTCCTTCCTTCCTTCCTTCCTTCCTTCCTTCTCTAACTTTCCTTCCTTCCCCCTTTTTCTTTCGCTCCCTCTTACTCTCCTTTCTTCCTTCTCTACCTCTTTCCTTCCTTCTTCTCTCTTTACTTCCATGCTTCTTTCTCCCTTTCCTTCTTTCTTTCCTTCTTTCTTTTCTTTTCTTTCTTTCTTTCTTTTCTTTCTCCCCTTCCCTCCCTCTTTCTTCCCTTTTTTCTGTATTGTCATTTAGCTTTTCATCATTTAGTTTTTTCAGGCTTTTTAAGACCCTTCTGCTGTGCTTTTCAGTGTTTTTATGAGTGAAGGACATACATTGGGTTGTTAGGTGTATTTTGTCCAAATCTGGTGGTTTTTGAGTTCTGTTAATCCCACAAACGAATATTACATTTTTATTAATATAGATGGCCAAATAAAGGTTTGCTTGAGCTATGGTAGTTAAAGTGGCATCAAACTGCATTACTTCTACAGTGTAGATGTCCCCCTAGTCTCTGTAGAGGCAGAAAACAAGCCAGTTCCATATTCAGTAGGATATTTTTTTTCAGATATTTAAACATGGCTTATCATGTTCCCACTTAACCTTCTAGTCTGCAAGCTAAACACACCCAGCTTCCTGAGCCACTCATGCATTTCTAAATTGTTTTAAATTGTTACTGGATTTCCTAGTTACCTTTTGCAATTTGCACTTAACGCTGACTCATTGTTCAAAATAGTGTACGGAGTACTTTCCATTGTGTTTTGTATTTATCTTGGGAGCATTCCAATCTTTTTGGCGGCCTTGTCTAATTTAAATGGTTAATTAATGGATATAAATCTGTTGTGTGTGTTGTGTTTTGTTATTAACACGAGTCCTGACTTTTGCAGAACTGCCTGGGTCCAGAAAATTAAAGGAGCATCTGAACACTATATTGAAACTGAAAAGAAGAAACATGAAAAGGCTTATCAAGGTGCTGATTTATTAGTTGCTTGGTATTAAAACTAGATTACCACAAACACTGCTAGAATCCCAGTCTTCATGGAAAGATCCATCAGTGGTTTCTTAGCACTGCTTCTTGTCTGAATCCAAACTGCCAGATATTCTGACTCACAATTACATTTTCTGACTTGTAAAGAAACCCTGGATTCTTGCTGAATTCTTTTTTCCCCACTTAATCCAGAGAAAGTAAAATTAATTATATAAACAGGAGGTATTGTCGAAGGCTTTCATGGCTGGAATCACTGGGTTGTTGTAGGTATTTTCGGGCTATATGGCCATGTTCTAGAGGCATTCTCTCCTGACGTTTTGCCCGCATCTATGGCAAGCATCCTCAGAGGTAGTGAGGTCTGTTGGAACTAGGAAAATAGGGTTACATATCTGTGGAATGACCAGGGTGGGACAAAGAACTCTTGTCTGTTGGAGTTAGGTGTGAATATTTCAACTGACCACTTTGATTAGCATTTGATGCCCTGGCAGTTGTTTGGTGTGGCTTGATAGTGGTTTGTTAGTGCCTGGGACAATCTTTTGTTGAGAGGTGGTTAGATGTCCCTGATTGTTTCCCTTCTGTTGTTTTGCTGTTGTAATTTTAGAGTTTGGTGATCTGGAAAATAAAGTAATGAGAAAGTGTTTGTTTCTAATATATGTAATGTGTTTATGCTTGTGGGTAAACAGTATTTCTTGTTGTTTCTTTGTCAGTGTTGATGGGGAGATTGTCTGGTTTGTGTACTCTGGAACATGCAACATAGAATTGTCCTTCTTTAGGGTCCCTTTCAAATCTATGATACTATATCTCTGTGTGTGTGAATAATATATATCTATCTATATCTATGGCTGGATGGCTCTTTATCAGGAGGGCTTTGATTACGTTTTCTTGCCCTGGTGAAGGGAGTTGGACTGGATGGCCTTAAGGCAGCATTTCTGTTGGTCATGGGAATTCTCTGTGGGAAGTTTGGCCCAATTCTATTGTTGGTGTGGTTCAGAATGCTCTTTGATTGTAGGTGAACTATAAATCTCAGTGTCTACAACTCCCAAATGTCAAGGTCTATTCCCCCCCAAACTCCATCTGTGTTCATATTTGGGCATATGGAATATTCAGTCCACAGTGCTCTCTGGATGTAGGTGAACTACAACTCCCAAACTCAAGGTCAATGCCCACCAAACCCTTCTAGTGTTTTCTGTTGGTCATGGGAGTCTTTTGTGCTAAGTTTGGTTAAATTCCATAATTGGTGGAGTTCAGAATGCCCTTTGATTGTAGGTGAACTTTAAATCCCAGCAACTACAACTCCCAAATGACAACATGAATTTTTTTTTGAGTGAAGGACATACATTGGGTTGTTAGGTGTGTGCTGTCCAAATTTGGTGTCAATTTGTTCAGTGGTTTTTGAATTATGTTAATCCCACAAACGAACATTACATTTTTATTTATATAGATATACCTGGGGTTACGTAAAAAATTCTCTGATCAAAAGGGATCCCAAGTGGGAAAGTTTAAGAAGCCCTGAGCTGCCCTCCATATTTTCCTGCCAGCTTCCACCCTTATTCCAAGCTTTTAATTAGTTCCAACTTTCTTTTTCAGCTCGCACACAGAAGAGTTCAGGAATAGGACGCTTGATGGTGAATGTAATTGAAGCAACTGAGCTAAAAGCATGCAAATCAAATGGTAATAATTTTCGGATGGATCTTCATAGGTTTAACAAAATAATTCAATTTCAACTAACCGAGAGATACAGAATTTCAAGTTATAAATAGCCGATGTCAAGAACAATTTTGTGAGAAAAAGATATATAACGAGCAGCCATACAACTAACAAAATAGTTCTCATTGTATTGTGAATAGACTGAAGGTAGAGTTAACACTATGTAAAGTGAATGCTAAAAAAAATAAATAACTCTGTTGGAAATTGAGCATTTTTACTGATAAGTTGGTTTGCTTGTATTATTTTCTTTTAAAATAAAGGTTTCATATATCAATTTCCCTTTTTTGTGTTAAGGAAAAAGCAACCCATACTGTGAAATCAGCATGGGATCACAAAGCTATACCACGAGAACACTGCCAGACACTTTGAACCCAAAATGGAACTTTAACTGCCAATTCTTCATCAAGGATCTTTATCAAGATGTGCTGTGCATCACCGTCTTCGACAGGGATCAGTTCTCGCCTGATGGTATGTGCAGCATTTTGTCTATGATGATGAACATTATCACACTTTGACCCAGGCTGGTGACTGGAAATCAATAGGGCATACATAGATAGCAACACAGCAAAAATCTACCAATGTTAATTGTCAATTTTGGGAGAAATCAGGGACATAAAATCCCATATTTCTTACCACCATTACTGTAATCTTTCTGATTAGAAATATATCAGAGACTAGCTATCCCCTGCCATGCATTGCGGTGGCCCAGTATGCTGATCTGGAAAATAAAGTAATAGGAAAGTGTTGGGTTTCTAATATATGTAATGTCTTTATGTTTGTGGTAAACAACATTTCTTGCTCTTTCTTTGTCAGTGTTGATGTGGAGATTGTCTGGTTTGTCTACTCTGGAACATGCAACATAGAATTGTCCTGTAGGGGTCCCTTTCAAATGTATGATACTATATCTCTGTGTGTGAATTATATCTATCTCTATCTATCTATCTATCTATCTATCTATCTATCTATCTATATCTATATCTATATCTATATCTATGGCTGGATGGCTCTTTGTCAGGAGGGCTTTGATTTCTTCCCCAAGTGAAGGGAGTTGGACTGAATGGCCTTAAGTATTTTCTGTTGGTCATGGCGATTCTCTGTGGGAAGTTTGCCGTTGGTGGGGTTCAGAATGCTCTTTGATTGTAGATGAACTATAAATCCCAGCAACTACAACACCCAAATGTCAAGGTCTATTTCCCCCAAACTCCCATCAGTGTTCATATTTGGGCATATGGAGTATTCCTGGAAAGTTTGGTCCAGATCCATCATTGTTTGAGTCCACAGTGCTGTCTGGATGTAGGTGAACTACAACTTCCAAACTCAAGGTCAATGCTCCCCAAGCCCTTCTAGTGTTTTCTGTTGTTCAAGGGAGTCCTGTATGACATGTTTGGTTCAATTCCATCATCGGTGGAGTTCAGAATGCTCTTTGATTGTAGGTAAACTATAAATCCCAGTAAGTACAACTCCCAAATGTCAAGGTCTATTTCCCTTAAACTCCATCTGTGTTCATATTTGGGCATATGGAATATTTGTGCCAAGTTTGGTCCAGATCCATCATTGTTTGAATCCACAGTGCTCTCTGGATGTGGGTGAACTATAATTCCCAAACTCAAGGTCAATGTCCACCAAACCTTTCCAGTTTTTCTGTTGGTCATGAGAGCCCTGTGTGCTAAGTTTGGCCCAATTCCATCATTGGTGGGGTTCAGAATGCTCTTTGTAGGTAAACTATAAATCCCAGCAACGACAATTCCCAAATGACAAAATCATTTTTTTGAGTGGAGGACATAAATTGGACTGTTAGGAGTCTTGTGTCCAAATTTGGTGTCAATTCCCCCAGTGGTTTTTGAGTTCTGATGGTAGCACGAACTAACATTACATTTTTATTTATATAGATGATTGAGAGCAGTCACTGAAGATTTCGGCTCTGTAGTTTTCTAAACCGAGACTGGATTGGCATTTGTTAGACCGTGTTTGAACTAGATGGCTCTTTGGATCTCTTTCAACTCTATAATTTTGTGTTTTAAGAAAAGACAAAAAAACTGAAAGGACACAATTAGATTGCATCACTTTGAATGAGTTTTTTGACCATAACATAAGATAATCACTCCTTTCAAATCAGCTAGAACCAGAATGCATAAGGGTGATGCATTAATCCTGGCTCTACCTCAGGTGTAAGACTAGCAATAGAAATCAGACCAATGGTTGTGCTGTTATTGATTTAATTCATGGTTTTTCTTTGTTAAATAGACTTCTTGGGTCGCACTGAAGTTCCAGTAGCCAAAATCAGAACAGAGCAAGAAAGCAAGGGTCCTACAACTAAACGTTTACTCCTTCATGAGGTTCCAACTGGAGAAGTTTGGGTGCGCTTTGATCTGCAGCTGTTTGACCAGAAAACTCTCCTTTGAAGAAGAAGAAAAACTGCTTTGTCGCCATTGGAACCCACAAAAATGGACCAGATTGCTCTCATTCCAGCGGAAACAGTTCTACAAACAGTTCTTCCTATCAGGCGGATATCCAAGTGTGATTCCTGTCACACAACTGCTTTGCCTGGTCACCGTATTTTTTTGATGCGTGTGCTTATGTTGGTGACAAACTATGCAATGTAAAATGTACTGTACTGTATATATGAGAGTGTAGTACACTGCCTTTCCATGTTGATATTGGAATTTTCAAATGCAGATGCCAATGTTTCCAGTTGCAGATGTGTTAGGGAGTATTGGGAAGCTGGCATTTAAGAATGTTTAAAGTGTTATAATTTTGAATAATAGGTTTTACTCAGGGCTAGAATTATTTCCTCTGCTGCCTGGAAAAAAAATAATCTGCTTGACTCTGATCTCAGGATATTAATTGTGGGGAATAAATACTGAAATCTTAGCACTTCGGGTTCTATGAAACACTGCTATGTTATTTTGAGGAAAAGAAACTATGGTTATTTTCGGAGGACTGATACAGAAAACACAGCAGGCCAGCAAACCCTGTCATTCAGTGGGAATGCTCTCACATTCTTGCAGAAGGGAGGGATGAAGCTTTGCTTGCCCCACTCTCCTTCCAGGGGCTGAACAGACTCTTCCCTGCAATAATAGGGGTTCCATTATGCGCAAGAGGGCTCCGGAGCCCACTCTGATCTCACCCTCAGAGATCAGGAGGGAACACATGTTTTCCCCGCGAGCTCTTCAACATCTGATCCCACCATCTCCCTCTGGCCTCAGAGAAGGGGGTCCAGTTTAATCTCTGGGCCCTATTGGGACATTCTCCCACAACCATACGGCTGCACCTTAATCTTTCCTTCTCCCCTCAAAGTTCATTTAACTATTTTATAATCACTTCCTGGTTATGAAGAGAAGGAATAATGGGGTGTGACTTTAAATAAGGAGATGTGATCTGCAATGATATGAGTATTTTTTCACATTATTTGTAATATATATGTACAAAAAACAAACAATTCTAGATTTTGTTAGTACCCATAAAATGCGCACCTTGAAAGCCTTTCATAGGCAAAGACCCTTGAATACAGAAAGTTGCACTTAGGTTTGTACAGCAGACAAAATAAGCGTATTGATGTAATTTGTTTAAAGATCCATATCAATGATTTTCTACAGGGTTTTTTGTATGCTAAATATGAAATCATTCGAATACAAGAACTAAGAAAAGAGAAAATATAAATTATCGTATGTTTGCCTCATGGGATCTTACAGAAGTGAATATGCAATAAGCCAGATTTTCCTCTTAAAGTCAAAAAGTCAGAAACTCCTGTGTAAAAGCCCCAAAGAAATCCAGTGCAAATGCTTATTTATGTGCAGCTACTGCTTATTTAAGCAAAATGTCCAAAAGAAGCATCTTAGATGAAATGTGTTGAAAACAGTCATTGTTGCGGTTAAGTCAGAAAGCTCCCAAATATGTGCATGTTGGACTTGCTTCTCAAATATTAAGAGCTGCTTTTAATTTAAAACCGCAGATGCGCCAATGTGTCCCTAAAGAGCTATCATACCTAGTATGTTTTAACAGGATTACAAAACCAACTGGGATGGAAAAGTGTGTTGTGTGATTCATGTTTCTAATACTAATTGAAAATGATTTTTATTTTTAATCAGAATTAAGATCGTCCATTCTCTGAACTGCCACATTCTTGGTAAGAGATGACTCAGTTGTTTGAGACAATGGTTAGGACGGAATCTCAATAAAACTTTAATCTATTTCTCAAGCAAGAGCTGGCTTGCTTCAATTTGCCAATGTTAAAGGCCACTTTTATTACTGTTTTCACAAGACATGATTATTTACATCTGTGTGTCAACTGAAGACAACTGCAGAATAAAGTGTGTGTAGAAAAATCCAGATATCACAAGGCAGATCAGAGTGAATATAGCTTCACAATTCCTGAAGGACAGTAGAGTTGTGTATTTGGTTTTTCCTAATTGCAACTGGCAGAGTTACTGACACATCGTGGAAGAGGAGAAAGTTTGCTCCCAGAGGTCTACAGCATGTGGCAAAGTTAGATTTCCCATCACGCTCAACTGTGAATTGCACATATGGTAGTTTCTGCGCCTGAGCAGACAGCTTCGGAACCAGAGAGAATCCCGAGAAACAGTGCACAGCCATTGTGGGTTTTTATCACTCCAAAGTTCAACAGGATTATGTTTTTAATTTAGCAGGTAACAGTCTTCCCTTATAGCTTTTCTCTTTTGACCCTTACGAATGCATGGTAGTTTATCTGGCATTGCCGTTATTGCTTGGAGCACAGCTGTCAGTAGCTCAGCAGCACCTGTACTATTAACAAAGGTCATACATGTGAAAGCTTGAAAAGTTCATTTGGTGGCAGATTAATAGGCAGAATGTATTAGTTGCTTTAAATAGGGGAAAAGATGTAAAACATGTATTGCAAAACTGACTTGGAATCTTTCATTTCAGCCGATGCCTTTGGATTCCACTTTTATGTGTAGCTGTCATCTAAGTACTGCAATTTAAGATGGAAGTTCTTTACTTGGAAATGTACCGCTTGTCCTTGACATCTTGCTTCAAAATCAATAACATACTAGGACCTTGTTTTGATTGCCATGAATTGTACTCACTCTGATAGAGGGCTGTGGTCAATAACTGAAGTGCAGATGTTAGGCTAACTGGATGAATGCATCGGGCATTTTCTATACAAGTTCTGTTCTCGCTGTGGAGATACTATTTCAGAGGAAAGTTTAGCCTTAACCAAATTGTGTCATGGGTTTTGTCTGAATATATATAATGTACACAATTTCACAACTAAATGGGCATGCCGGTTAGGCTGAGAAACTGCGGTATACAAGTAAAGTAAATAAATAAATAAATAAATAAATAATGTTTTATAATAATAATAATAATAATAATAATACCAGACAAAGAGTCAGTACAAGAAAACTGCACTCCAAACCAGAGCTGACAGCTGGCACAACAAAGCCTTAATGGGCAGTTCCTTGAGAACATTGAAGAAAAAGTTGACAAGGAGAAGACCTGGTTATGGCCCACGAATGGAACCCTGAAGGAGGAGACAGAAGGCCTAATTTTTGCAGCCTAGGAGCAAGCCATCGGAACCAATGCAATTAAGGCCAGGATTGAAAATCAGCAGATTACCCAAAATGCAGACTGTGAAGGAAGCTGATGAAACCATGGATCATCTCCTCAGCCGTTGCAAGAAAATTGCACAGAGGGACTACAAACAGAGGCACAACTCTGTGGCCCAAATGATTCACTGGAACTTATGTCACAAGTACCACCTGCCAGCAGTAAAGAATTGGTGGGATCATAAACCCGCAAAGGTCGTGGAAAATGAACATGCGAAAATACTGTGGGACTTTCGAATCCAGACTGACAAAGTTTTGGAACACAATACACCAGACATCACGATTGTGGAAAAGAAAAAAGTCTGGATTATTGATGTCGCCATACCAGGTGACAGTCGCATTGAGGAAAACAACAGGAAAAACTCAGCTGCTATCAAGACCTCAAAATCGAACTGCAAAGGCTCTGGCATAAACCAGTACAGGTGGTCCCAGTCATCATTGGCGCACCCGTTGCCGTGCCAAAAGATCTCAGCCGGCATTTGGAAACAATAAACATCGACAAAATCACGATCTGTCAACTGCAAAAGGCCACCTTACTTGGATCTGCGCGCATCATTCGAAAATACATCACACAGTCCTAGACACTTGGGAAGTGTTCGACTTGTGATTTTGTGATACGAAATCCAGCATATAGATCTCGTTTGCTGTGACATACTGTGCTTTTGTGTCAGTAAAATAATAATAATAAGTGTCTTTATTTATACCCCGCCACCATCTCCCCCAACAGGGACCTGGGGCGGCTTACATGAGGCCAAGCCCTAACAGCAAATTACAATAAAATAAAAACCAAAACATAAGCAACAACACAGTAAAATACATAAAACATATGAATACAATAAGCAATATACAAATGCAATATCCACAATGACAATGAGCGAGATGCATGTGCAAGATAAAATGTTAAAACTCGGGGTGAGATAAAAGAGAAGTAGATTTGCGAGGGAGAGCTCATAAAGAAATGAGGTTGTAAAAAGGGGGGAAGTGTACTCCAGGGACAATAACTTTTTTTGTAGGTTATTTTTCTTCTCTCAGTATTCTGAGACGTAAGTGTTGCATTCATAATTGACAACTTTCTAGATTAATAAGTCTTCATCATGAACCAATAGGACTTGGTGGCTTGCTTTCTTTGGTTTGAGTAGGTTTGTGATACTATTTGCACATGAACACACAGAGAAAGTAATTGCTAATCAGTTTGAATAGTCACACTACTGCAGCCAAGGAAGCTGTTAAACATACAAAATAATTTGGTGCAAAAGTTTACAATATCTCAGTCTTCTGTTCTTGATTAAATAAAAGTACAGGGTTGAAAAAGGGTTGCCTGTACATGCGCAGTGCACCATTCTGAATAATCTAGAGTTATTAGATTTATTTAGCTTTATGACTTATGTAAAGAATTCAGGACAAAGACAATTAGGAAGCGGATTTTATTGGTGGTTTCCGACCCGATGAACCAAGCAGTATTTGTTTTGTCATAGGAGTGGGTGCACGGCCACAGTCTGGTTTCCTGACAGATATCCTTCTTTTGGTTGCTGAAGCCCAGGATGGATCGCCCCAGCTTCTGAAATCCATAGAACATTGGTTTCTTGTTGGGACCATTTTTCGCCTTTGAAAAGAATAAAAACCAAATGGTGAATGCTGCCTAGTAATGCCAGGCATCAGTGTTGCACATGTGTTGATACTGTGTTAACACTAAAAGTAAAAGACAAAACTAAATGGCAGCTGGTCGAGATTCTATCATTAACTTTCAGTTCCCATTTTACACCAAACAAAACCTTTTTTCATTTTTGTATTATAAAGCAAGTTAAACTACACACTATGTGTGGATGGGTAAGAGAAGTTCTCTCCTGCAGAATGTTTCTTCTCTGGCAAAAGCAAGAAGCCTGTCCTAGAACATGTGTCAAATCTGCTTGGTAGATAATCAAAAGCAAAAGGAGTTGCATCTCCTCATAGCCAGATGGAAACATATGACAGCAGTGCTGAGATGTGCTGGGTCATTTGGAGATCTCATTGCTGTTGTAATTGTTTCCAATCTGGCCAGATGCTTCATCAATCCTGTCCATTCCCCATGTGACACAACCCAGAAATAAATAAATAAATAAATAAATAAATAAATAAATAAATAAATGGCACGGCACAAACCAGTAAAGGTGGTCCCAGTGATGATTGGCACACTGGGTGCAGTGCCTAAAGACCTTGGCCTGCACTTAAACACAATCAGCACCAACAAAATTACCATCTGCCAGCTGCAGAAGGCCACCTTACTGGGATCTGCACGCATTATTCGCCGATACATCACAGTCCTAGACACTTAGGAAGCGTCCTGACATGTGATCCAGTATAACAGCTAGCAGAGTGATCTTGTCTGTTGTGGACTCATCTTGTTCTGTTTTAAATAATAAAAATAATAATAATAACAACAACCACAACAACAACAACAATAACAATAATATCAATAATAACAATAATAATCATAATAATAATTTATTTGTATACTGCTCTATCTCCCCGAGGAAACTCAGGGCGGTTTCAAACAAGGTAAAACATTGTGATTACCAACATTAAAACATACAGAGTAAACTTTATAAAACAAAATGGAAACATAATATATCATGAGCAGGTATAAGGAAAGCTTAGGCATGCCTCTGTCCAGAACAGGATGCCAGTCATAACCCATTTGAAATAATACACTGCTCAGAGAAGAATAATCTAGACTACCAGTACAATCTCTCCTCTCTTCCCTTGGTTAAAAGAAAACATCTCTTGGCAATAACATTCATCCTGTATTTGCAATGAGGAGAAACTGGACGAGTTTAAGAGAACTCCCTAAAAAACACCTAGGAAGCCCTGGGGATTGCAAGCAGGCCATTGGTTGGAATTTCCTCATTCCTTGCTGAAGGCCAGCTAACACCTCCCAAAAATGGATCCCCCAGGCAGCAACCAGTCAGGCTTTGAAGCTGCAAGTCCATTAAATGCTAATCAAGGTGGCCAATTGCAATATTCACACTTGCCTCAAGCATACAATAGTTCTTTCTCCCACCCTGGACATTATTCCACAGATATATAAACCTCACTTGCCTAGTTTCCAACAGACCTCACAACCTCTGAGGATGCCTGCCATAGATGTGGGTGAAACGTCAGGAGAGAATGCTTCTGGAACATGGCCATACAGCCCAGAAAACTCACAACAACCCAGTAATTCCAGCCATGAAAGCTTTTGCCACTTTCCACACTGATATACCAGTTTTCCAAAGAAGGAGTTATCAACCTGATACTAATTAGTGTTGGGCTTAGACAAACTGCTTGGATTCATACAATTATGCTTCTGATCTTCAGAGACAAACATCTCAGATTTTCATCTGCCATCAATAAACTCTTCTTCCATGATCAGGAAAGCAGCCATTCACTTGTTCCACAAAAGACACACACGTTTATCTATGCCGCCACCCCCTCTGAGAAATACCACGTAAAGGAGAAACTTCCTTTTAAAAGATTATCATGTCTTACTGGCTTCTCAGACGAATTTCACTATCCATATATCTAGCGGGAATTTTCAGCCACTCGATTGGACTCATAAGCTGTCGGCTCATGGGAAGCAATGGCAGCTCAGCCTTACGGAGTTCGTTCATCTCTTTGGCAGATAATATTCTTCCTGCAAGAAGTGGAAACAATGAAAACAGAAGTCTTTTCAAAAACTAAAACAGGTGATCTGATGATGAATTAAAGGCAACCCCCAAATCCACTCCTCCCAGTTGGATCCACTCCACCCATCCATCACATCACTGGCACTTTATAGCATTTTGAGAAATACCCTTTTATAAGCAGGGTTTATGCTTTTGCTCACACCCAGTCAGGTTAACCTTTAATTTTGGTAAAGAAGGGAAAGGGAAAAGAAAAAAAGAAAGAAATGCAAAGGTTCCCAGGCAATCACATATGAACCCTGGGATACAAAATGCTTCAGGGATGCAGTTGTAGAAAGCAGTAAGCATTACAGACTACCTGTCTCACATTGCTGGATAATGCCGGCTTCAAGGTATCTGTCTTGTATTTCCTTTAACAATGGATCGCATAAAGGCGGAACTGATACCTATTAAAATATAACATAAGTTTATGCTTTTGCAATCAAAAGCCCATCACAACATCAAATTAGCAAGAAATCTTAGATACAATATATGGAAATGAAAAAAGTTATACTTTTGAGGGCCAAATACATTTGCAGGTATGTGGGTCTTTCACAGACTCCATGAAGAGGAGTATGATGCTGCTAGAACTAGGCTGAAAATACCATACACACACAGAGGGGCATGTTTCTGTGTTAATTTTTGACCAGCCAAGGCCAGAAGCAAAAGAGCCCCTTGGCATTCCAGTTTCAAACAATGAGGTACAGAAAAGATGGGTTGCTTACCTGTAACCGTTTTTCCTCTAGTGGTACCTGTGAAATCCACACATATGGGTTTTCTGGAGGGGGGGGTTGCGAGTTCCAGCGCCTTTCTTTTCTTTTCCAGCTTTTTTTGTGTGCTGGGCAGCCTTTCCCTGGGCGGAGGAAGAAGTGCACGGCCTAGCCTTCTTGGGTTTCGGCGCCTTAAGACGCCTCCACGCCATGTGCTCCTGCTGCCGTTAACAAAGGTAAGTTGGGCCCCATTGCATCGGGAATGGTCAGGGAAGAGGCCACGGCAGGAGGAAGCTCAAAAGTCGCCCTCTTAGCAATCTTGGGTGGCGGGGGAGCAGAGCCTTCTCATAGAGGAGGGCTTTAAGCCTCATCTCCCTATGTTTACATGCCTAGGGGGTGAATACCTGGCAGATGGTGCAGGAGCGCACCGCATGGCCCTCTCCCAAACACAGGAGACAGACGGAATGGCTGTCAGCGTTGGGGTATTTGCTGCCACATTTTGAGCACTTCTTAAAGACAGCCGCCATTTTAAAGCCCCAGAGAAGGGGATAACAGGCCTGAAAGAGTAGGTCGGACGATCTGAAGTCAACTGGTGAGACTGGAAGAAGCAAGTCCAAAGCTGGAGTCAACGAGTAATCGTTCTGAGTCAAGTCCAAAATTTAGGCAAGAAGGCCAAAATAGAGAAGAGCTAGTCACTAACTAAAGAGAGAGGTTCCTAACTGCTGCTATTGTGGCGGAAAGAAGGAACTGGAGTGGCAGCCCCGTCTATATATATACTCTTGGGGAGCATGGGCGGACTTACCGCCAAAAAGTATCCCTTTTAAGATTCTAGAGAGTTCTGAAACTGTCTGCACAGGCGCAGAAAACCCATATGTGTGCATTTCACAGGACCACACCGAGGAAAGGAATATACTCTTAGAGACAAGGAGCCACATGCATTCCCAAACCCAGGAGAAATTGGTTAGAACAAATATGACAGTGGGGGGGGAAACCCTTACATATAGGTGAAAGTACTTCATTTCTATAAGGATGTTCCCACCCCTACTATTATGATTGGGAATGTTAATTTTTTTGGTACCTGAGTATCTACAATAAGCATGCACAGATCCTGATTTATAATGTACCTATTGTAATATTAATCATTTTGCATATAACCAATCAAAATCTTTGAATGCTAACAAAGAGAAAACTTTATACTATAAATATAATGTTCAACATACAAGCTTTGGTTGACTGGACTTTCAAGGGTGATCTCACAGTTGGCCCCATTCTACAAAGCTGTTGAGTGATATCCTATCCTTAGTGTGGTTTCCTGTGCGCTGATGGGGTGGCAACAAAAGGTTTGTTGGTCAGTGGGAAATCTCTGAAGCACCAATTAATCCAGTGTCTTTGCTATCTATTTTTTAAAAAAACTCAGACTCATCTCTCTGCATGGTCTGCCTACATGGCTTTTTTTTTATCATGTCAGGAGTGACTTGAGAAACTGTAAGTCACTTCTGGTGTGAGAAAATTGGCTGTCTGCAAGGACATTGCCCAGGGGACACCCGGATGTTGTGATGTTTTACCATCCTTGTGGAAGGCTTCTCTCATGTCCCGCATGAGGAGCTGGAGCTGATAGAGGGAGCTCATCCGCTCTCCCCAGATTCGAACCTGCGACCTGTCGGTCTTCAGTCCTGCCGGCACAGGGGTTTAACCCACTGCGCCACTGTGGCTAAGCAAACAATACAATTCTAGCTGTATTAACAACAACAACGACAACAACAAGCTTTATTTATACCCCGCTCCTTCTCCCAAAGGGGACTCGGGACAGCTTACAACTGCCAACAAATACAGAAAATAATATAAGCAATTAACAATTAACGACGATAATATTTAGTCAAAACAGAAAGAGCACACTGGCTTTCCTACCTTCGAAATATCTGGAGTCTTAAGGAAGAAAGGATCGTAAGAGGAAGGATTATAATTTTCTAAAGATACAACACCCTGGTTAAGGAGAAAAAGTGACAAATCAAGAAAAAGTGCAATTTAACAATATTTAACAAAGAAATGATTCGTATCTGTACATCTATGTACATAGATGAATAGTCAACACACAAACATTTGCCAATCTCAAATTTAGTGAAACTAAATGCCTTAATGCAGGGTATTTAAACTACTTCTTGGGGAAGCACTGAAGAGAAAAGATAATTCAAATTGCTAAACAACTGTTACTAAAAAGGAAAATCCCACAATCAAGCCACAAATCAACTTATTACTTTCAGCATTATTGAGGTTGCAATTTTGAGGGCAATAAGTCCCAAATTAGGTTATGAGCCTTTAAAGACATATGCTCAGTTATTAAAAGCTGAACTTGGGAACAATGTGGTCCAGCTTACATATTACAGTAAGAATTTGAAACAGTGTCAGTTGTCAGATTTTTCATAAGAAATTTTCCAGAAGAAAAAGCATAAGGTTAAAAATGTTTGACATCCTTTCTGATGGCTTGGTTCCAAGTGGTGTCTTGCTTAGCTACTTTCTTGATTGTTGGGTGTGGGGAGAAAGTGGTGAATGCTAAATATGCACACTACTCAAGGGTAAGTGCCTAATTTATTCATATTCTGGATTGCTGTGATTTTTCCGAGCAGTATGGCCATGTTCCAGAAGCATTATCTCATGACATTTCACCCACATCTATGGCACCCACTTGCCTAGTTTCCTACAGACATCACAACCTCTGAGGATGCCTGCCATAAAAGTGGATAAAACGTCAGAAGAGAATGCTTCTGGAACATGGCCATAGAGCCCAGAAAACTCATAGCAACCCACTGATTCCAGCCATGACAGCCTTCAACAACACTGTGAAATTATACATGTCCTGAAATGAACAGCAGCCAGCAGTCTGGCCACTGCCTTTTGGATTCCAGATGTTTCTGAACTGTTTCCAAAATCAGCCACATGCCAAATTCATTTGCGATCCAAAACACATATTACTTTAGCCAGATTGACATCCCCAAGAATGGGACACAGCTGATGTATGCGCAGTAAAAGAAACCTATAATTTGTAACATGCTATTTGAGAAAATATAGTATGCTTTTATATCAACTCTATCCTCTGATAGAGTACATGCAGTCATGCTGGCCACATGACCTTGAAGGTGTCTACGGACAACGCTGGCTCTTCGGCTTAGAAATGGAGATGAGCACCACACCCCAGAGTGGCAAACGACTGAACTTAATGTCAGGGGACAACCTTTATCTTTACCTATCCTCTGATCATCTATCATTTGTAACTAACAAACTGTGTGAAAAGCAATTAAATGGAGTGAGCTAGTTTCCAACAACAAATTACACTGTTCTACAAATTTTCAGTTTTTCTCAGTTGCGGAAACGAAATGTGCCGTTTCTTAATAAATTTAACATGCTGAATTCAAATACAATAATTAAATGTGTTAATTGGCTCTGGTTTTTATGCAACAGCTATTTCAATTTTCTCCACAATAGGTAATTCGTTAATATTATGATAATGCGCTTAACCTTACTGCATGTATATAAACCGTGAATATTTACTAAATTTTAGTCAAATTATATTGCCAATAGTTTATACATGAGAAATATTTATTTAATTAGTCTATTGTTTATCTTTGTGCAGCAAGAAATTATATTAGTAGGCCTAATGCAGTTGAAAAGTCTGAAAGTTTAAATGTCGCTTTAATCGTGACTTTAGTTTATATCCTGTTTGCTTCTCTTGACTTTTCTTTTGTATTCAAGGAAAGGATTGTCTCTTACAATGCTCCAGCAGTAGTCTGACAGCATTGACGGAGTCCATTTACCTTGATATCTTTTTTCCATAGTGCTTTATTTACACACGTGTGAGGCATAACTACAGTAAAAAGAACAATGTAAAACGATGTTTAACGATACTGTCTCAGTCTTCAACTGACTGACCCTCACCGTTCAAAAGTCTGGCCTTATATAGGGCTTTCTGGCTTTTGCACACGGCACTAATACTGCGTCATCAAACTTTCTAGAATATTCTAGAATCTTCCATAGTGTAAGTCGCAACATGCATTTTTTCAACCATACGTGATCACGTGATTGCTTATATCATAAAAACTAGAGCCAATATACATTTTTAAATGTCATTTTCGTTTTCAGCACCCCAAAATCATAAAAGAACAGCTATTTTCAGGCCTGCAACTTTGCAGTGTAGACATCTTCAATATAGGAGGGGTGCTTCAGTCCAAGATCTGGAAATCCTAGTTTGCTTTTTATTTCTCTTACATTAAATATACGATTTCAAGGAGTGAACCCCAAATAACAAAAATGGTGGTGGTTCCTCCTCCAAATAGCTCATAGCTTTATAAAATCAAAAGACATAGTTGCGTTGATCTGAAATATCAATATGAAAAGCGATATTGCAGCATCTTAAAGACGGAAAGAAGTTGGTAGCACAAGCTTTCACTGACTAAATACACTTTCTCAGAAGCGGTCTTATGAAGTGTACATCTTTCCCAGGGTTGAAGGAGAATCAAAATATTGCACTAGAAAGTCAATATGCAAAGTCTACAACAAGAACATCCCCTTTTATGGTGCAGGAAGCACTGGACCCTGAAGATCTTTCCTCCAAGTCAACAGTAACATTCACTGAGTACTTGAGAACCACTATAATGAGCACCTGAACCTTGTCTGTACTGCAGAAAAGCTGATCCTTGTTTATGGGTTAAGGCACTGAAGGAAATCAAAGCATCTTGTGTCTTCAGGGGTATTTAACGCTGTCACTATTCTTCTCCCGAGCTTGATACCTTCTGAAGGACTGGATCGGTGTAGGTACAGGAAGGAAGAAGGGATTATGGGAAAAGTAAGCACTGAAATCACGAGAAGGCTCCTCTTCAGAAGCTGGAGGTTCTTTTGAGTCCCGAGAAAAGTCAGCCAAAGAAGGGTGAGGAGCAGAAGGGTAAGAGGCAGAGGGGTGAGGAGGGGATAGCGGGGGAGAAGGAGAGAGGTCTGGCAGAGCAGTTGGGGGCTCACAGGGAGCTGAAGGGGACAGTTGTAAGAAGGGGGAATGAAAGAAAAGGGAAGGCGTGAAGAGGTAAGGGGGAAATGGGGGAAGCAAGTGAAAGAAGTGACACGGAACAGAAGGAGGAAGCATGACTGCAGGGAGAACTACCACAGGTGGATATGTGGACGGGGAGACAGAAAGGAGAGAAAATGGAAATGGAGGGAGAAAAGAGGGGAAAAAAGAGCTTTGGGAAGGGCAGGAAAAGGGTGAGTGAAATGGAGGAAGGAGCACACAAAGAGAGAATGGAGATCCAGAAGGAGCCTAATGGAAGGAAAGAGACAGTGAAAATAGAAAACAAATACATGAATAGAAAAGTACAAAATGAGGTCCAACATAGGACAGTTTATGCATGAAAGACAATAATGGTTTGTACACCCTTCCCTTATTACAAAAGGTAGCAAAGGAAAAGATGCATGAAGTACATCCTCAAACTGGAA